TTTTTATGGCTGAGTAGTATTCCATCACACACACACACACACACACACACACACACACACACACACACACACCCCATATCTTTTTTATCCATTCATCTGTTGATAGACACAGGCTGCTTATATATCTTGGCAATTATAAATAATGCTGCTATGAACATTGGGGTGCATGTATCTCTTCAAATTAGTGTTTTGGATTTTTTTTTGGATATATACCCAGGAGTGGAATTGCTAGGTCGTATGGTAGTTCTATTTTTAATTTTTCAAGAAACCTCCAAACTGTTTTCCACAGTGGCTGCACCAATTTACATTCCCACCAACAGTGTACGAGGGTTTCCTTTTCTCCAAATCCTTGTCATCATTTGTTATTTGTATTCTTTTTGATGATAGCCATTCTGACAGGTGTGAGGTGATACCTCATTGTGGTTTTGATTTGTATTTCCCTGATGACTAGCGATGTTGAACATCTTTCCATATGCCTATTGACGATCTGCATTTCCTCTTAAATGTCTACAGTATTCATAGAGAATTCTATGACCCAAAGTAGTTTTTTTCACATTTTGATATTTTTGAAAGTATTTTTCTTTTGCAGCCAATGACATATCATACTTTAATGGGTAGTATTTTTTTGTTTCTTAGTAGTACATAAAATAATGTTACCTCTTAACCATCAGTGGTAATATAGATTGAGTGAAATATGATAATATTTAGTTTAACTACTTTAACTGAATTTATAGATGATCATTATCTGAAGTTTCAAAATTAAGTGAAATAGAAGTTAGTAAACACCGCATAATAAAGTATATTTTTGTCTATCTGAAGTCACTTGAAATAATCTATAAAAATAGAATATAGTATTAGAGGTGTGGGTTTGTTGTTACTATTTCTATATTCCTAATATCTAAGAAGAAAATACGCATTTTGAAGATCAGTCTCTTGAACATTCATCATTGTGGGAAGGAGAGGTCTAGGCAGTGCATGTGATTGTCCTGCAGGAACATTCGGAAGGTGGATCAACCAGGACCCTCTGCGGAGAGTGATGTGGCTGCAGCCCTGCATCGCCTGAGTCTGCGGCGACAGAACTACTTAAGTGAGAAGCAGTTCTTCGCTGAAGAATGGGAGCGGAAGATCCAGGTTCTGGCTGACCAGAAAGAAGGGGTTAGTGGCTGCGAGACCCCCACCGAGAGCCTTGCCTCTCTCTACACTGACCAGTCAGAGATCACAGACCTCAGCAGTGCCAGTTGCCTTCGAGGTTTTATGCCTGAAAAATTACAAATTGTCAAGCCCCTTGAAGGTAATAAATAAGTAAAGTTCATTTCTAACATGTCGCTTCTTGGCTTTTCCTCCTCCTGGAACTGAAATTTGTACTGTAATTATAACAGCACTATGTGCAAAAGATATCTTTTTAGCCCTAAATCTTCGCTGTTTGGGTGCCATTGCATAGCAGTACTTGGTGGAAAATGAGTGAAAAGATATGCATTCTCCAAGCCATCGGCTGGCTGTCAGTTCTATTCTACTTGTGGTGTTTTTATACAAATGTGAGGGAGGAAGAGTAATCTTTTCTTGTCCTTTGCTAAGGAATTTCCTTGGAATATCTTAGACAGCAGTTTTCATGGTAAGATAAATGGGATATGATAGATAAATAAAAATAATCTGCATATAATACTTCATCTCTACCTTCCTTTTCAAAAAAGAGTTCTTTACCCAAGAAGTGTCATTTGCTTAGAGGTATTTTTCTTTTGTTCTGTTCTGATCATTCCAGTTCAGTTTCTGTTCTCTTCTAAAATAGAACTTGAATTCAAAATAAATTTCTTTGTTTTATGGAATATTGACAATCTTCAAATGATCCTCTGCTATTATCATAAGTCTGCATTAGAAAAAATAAGGACCCCTCAAACTCAAAGGTTCTGTAAGTTAGTTTTATTCACTAATCATCAGTGCAGGTATTTGTCAGAGAAAATGGGATAAAATGACTATCAGTAACATAATTAGACACTGCATCTGGTGCAGGCGCTTGCAGTGATCACTCATCGGCATCAGTAGACAGCAACCAGGAGATTAGATCCTCCTTTTATCACCTTCTTCACTTCCCTACTCTCCCTGAGAGCCTGGTGAAAGGAGAGTCAAGAGCAGGGTGGAGAGGTATACAAAAAACACTGAAATTCAGGGTGTCTTCCAACCTAAGAGCCTGGCTTTTGACTTCAAAATTCATAGGCATGGTTCCAAGCCAAAGGAGTGTTGATTTTTGTCACCTGAGGAAATTCAGCCCCACCTCTGAGACACGTGTCTTCCGCCTCATCACTGCCTCTGCATCCTAGTTCCTATTAAGGGTGTTGTCTTGGTTTTTTCATCCCTGCTTTCGTTGTCCTTTTTAGAGTTAACTTTGAAATAGAAAGATTATTATTCTCTTGTTAATCTTCCACAGAGAACTTTAATTTACGAATGTTACCAAAATATTAAGGCCAAATAAGTAGTTTTATTATTGTCATTACTTTGTTATACATATAATTTTAGCTTCTCTTCCAAGGTTTAATATTTGTTGAAAATTTAAAACATGCCCTTTTTTTGGCTTGCATACTCAGGATCACAGACTCTGCACCAGTGGCAGCAGCTTGCTCAACCAAATTTAGGAACCATTCTTGACCCACGACCAGGTGTCATAACTAAAGGCTTTACCCAGTTGCCCCAGGATGCCATCTATCACCTCTCAGATTTGGAAGAGGATGAAGAGGAAGGTATCACTTTTCAGGTTCAGAAACCTTCAGAAGTCGAACAAAAACCACCAGTGTCGAAGCCAGTAACAGGAATCTTCCTACCACCCATGACTTCAGCTGGTGGTCCAGTTTCAGGTGAGAAGAGTGCTTTGCTTTCTGCATAACTATAGAGTCAGCTGACTGCCTCTACTTAAATCTTACAGGTGTGTACTCCATCTTGAATATAAGATGATGGAAATCCATAACACTAGCGGCTCTTAAGAGTCTCTTCACTTCTCAGCCGACCTGCATGAGAGCAATTCAGCCAGAGGCTCACGAACCTTTTGGACTCAGAATCTCTTTATACTTTTAAAAACCATTGAGAATTCAAGAGAGCTTGTCTTGTGAATGATATCTGTTGATATTTACCATATTAGAAGTCAAATGAGAAATTATAAAAATATTTATTAACTAATTATTTTTAAATAGTTACATATTAACACAAATAATATGTCTTATGAAAAAATAGCTATTTTTAAAAAGTAGTGAGAAGAATGGTTTTGTTTTACAATTTTGCAAGTCTCTATGGTTTAATAAAAGATAGCAGGATTCTTGTATCAGCTTCTATATTCAGTCTATTACAATATGTTGCTTTGGTTGAAGAATATGAAGCAGCCTCACGTAGATATGTAGTTGGAAAAAGAAAGACTATTTTAATAGCCTCTTTAAGTATTTGTGGATATTCTTTGAAATTACACCAAAACTTGATAAGTGATAGTTTCTCTAAGGTTTGTAACAACGTGAATCTAAAACCCTGTCAGTGAACTTTTCATACTTTGTTACATTAAGATCTATTAGTCTATCCTACACTTTGAATTGCATCTTTTACCCACGCATGATTTTATAACATCATGCATTGGGCTTTGGGAAAATACTAATTCACTGAGTTATGCTGATCTTCCAAATGTTGACACATTTCAGTATATAATATATTAAAGTCATATACTATCACCACCTGTCTCAGCAGGTAAGTCTCTTAGTATTAGGAAACTTTCAAGCTCTCAATGATGGATACAGATCTACCAAAACACTCATTTTAACTTGAAAGCTCAAATTCTGTCACTGGCAGCAAATCTTGTCAGTTATTTTCTTGAAGAGACAAGCTCACCACATTCATTTTCAAGAAAATGTTGCCAGATATCCAAGTCTGAATACCTGAAGCTTTTGTATTAGTTGTTCTTTCGAGTGAAAATGGTTTCTCTGAAAAATTGTTACATTCAATTGTACATGTGCTTTTCCTCTGGATAACCATTGCATCACAGTATGCAGCAGAGGGCTTAATGCTTACTTCCCATTTCATCGCACAGAATATTGAAAAGATTCAAAGGTCAAGATTTAATAAATAATTTTTACTGCTTCATCAAGGATGTTCTTATGCACAACAGTGAAGAATCCTAGTACAACTGGTGTCTTTGCCTTTGTTTGTGCTAAGGAGCCAGCAGTTTTACCCATTATTACTTCTGCAACAGCAGTGCAAATGCCAATCTGGTCAAAAAGGCAGGTGGCATCTTAACATTGCTGTAAAAGTAGTTTTGACCTATAAACTCCCACAAGGTCTGCAAACTACACTTCAAGAACTGCTGGAGTAGATAGTTTGGCTAGAAGGATTGGATGACTAGTTCTGGATGGGTTTTTTAGTTTTTTTTTCAAAAATGTGTTTCTCTCTTGTTTGTAAGCTATTTTAAATCCTTTTGAATTACAGTTTTAAGTTATTGAAGGAGTTAGCTATATATACCAACCAGTGGATACAAATACAATATGTATATTTCATTTCTAGATTTGGAGACTTTTGTACAAAAGATACTTGATAAATGATGTATTATTAATAAATAATGATGAACTTTTTACATTGCTAACATATTCTTTCAATTTTGTGTTTGATTCCCTAAAAATGCCTGCTGCAGCTGCAACCTCAAACCCAGGAAAATGTCTGTCATGCACAAACTCGACGTTCACCTTTACCACCTGTAGGATTTTACATCCCTCAGATATCACTCAGGTTACCCCCAGGTAAGAGGGTGTCAGCAATTTGAGGCCTTACTTCTTACCTCAACTATGTCTTCATGAATTTCTTTTTTAAATAACTGTCATTTTAATTCCTAGAATTTTAATTAATGTCTGTGATGATTTCTCGTTAGAATGTTTTCACATTTTATTTTCTCATTTGATCATTATAGCTCTTTGAAGTAGTCAGGGCAAGTGAGTATGTAGTGTCTAAATGGAAAAAGTGAGGCATAGAAAGTTCAGGTGAATGGTCCAAGGGCAGACAGGTAGTAAATGACCCAGACTATACCCAGAGTTAGCCAAACTGCAAGATTTGAGGAACCCATCCTCTGAACAAGACTGCCCTCACTTCTGATACCACCTGCCAGTTCAGAGTTTCCCCACACCACTCTGTTGTCTGATAAATTTTCTAGGAGGACTCACTGAACTCACTGAAACTGTTTGCACATGGTTGCTATTTATCACAGGGAAAGGTTACAGGTTAAAATTAGCTGAAGGAAGAGATGGACAAGTCAGAGTCTGGGAGGGTTCCACACACGAAGCTTCCCTTGTCCTTAGGATTCATTACTTTCCTGGCATCCATGTGTGACAGTGCACACGGAGTTTTGCCAACCAGGGAAGCTCATCCAAGCCCCAGTATCTGGATTTTTCACTTTGGCTTCAGTGTGTAAGGCATGACTGACTGATTACCCATATAGTTGAACCCATCTCCAGGTTCACTGACCCAAGCTTCCCCCCTAAATCTCATGGTTGGTCTTTCTGGCATGACCGGCCCCCGTTGTCAACTACTAGGTGCGGCCAGGTCCATCCCCAGATCTGGTGTGGCCAGCCCCATCCTAAACAAACACCCTTCTAGCAGATATGGCATAGGTTACCTCCCAGAAGCTGAGGACAGTGCCAGAACCCTCTGGGCACTCCAAATTATTTACTACCCGGGCTAGAACAATAAGCAATATTGCTGTAATTTCTATCCTACCAACTCTCAAGAGAATCAAAGGTAGTTTTCAAAGATATGTAGAGCTTTGCCGTGATAATGTTAACTACAAGTAGAGGGGGAAAAAATGAAGCAAAGAAGAATGAAGAGTAAGGATATAAAATGGATAGGGGAATAAAACTAGTGCACAACTGTACTTTCAAATCTTATATATTCGCTAAGCAAGGTGAGCTGTGTATTTGAGTCATAACTTTCTAGCTGCCAAAGTAGAGGGACATCAGACTATGATTCACTATGTCTATAAGATAGAAGCAAATTGATTGTTTAGGGAAGCATTTAGGTGGCATCCAATAAAGACCTCAATAAAGTCTGTAATGAACAGGCATGTCTGCGATTTTTCCACATTGTTCTTATGGTCAACAGGGTAGTAGTTTTAAAAAAAAGTTGGTTCGTGAGAAGACTCTCAGTGGTACCTCAGTACTCTTGATACCATTGTTTTGTTTGGTAATGAAGTGAACAGTTTAGGAAAGGGCAGGAAATTCTACAATTAAGTAGGGATGGGGAGGTGAGAGACTGGGAGTACAATAGGTAAGAGTTTCTTAGTGGTACTGAAGAGTAGTCAAACTTTTTGCATTTGCTTCTTTAATACAAGTTAGTAACTTTAGAAAGTTTATTTATTAGACCTAAATCTGCATTATGTTCATAATCTTTAAAATTCTTGATATCTAGATATTCTGAGTATTTTGTGTTAAGGTGAAAGTTTATCCATCAGATGCTATTAACATTTGCTCAAGGGGGAAACATTTGCTAAAGAAGTACCTCGTCCATTTCCTTGAGTAGATGATTTTTTATTTAGCTTTTTTTTCTGTTTAACAAAACATAGACTAAGAAGAAAGATCCTAATAGCTGTTGAAGCTTTTGATTATTTTTAATTTCCCAGAAATACATGCTTTAAGTCAAGATTGAGAAACATTCACTCCATGGGTATCTTTACACTACTATTTGTTGGAATTAACATTCTTAAAAATGGAAATTTAACAGAACTTTATTTGTTCTCAGTCATATAAAAATTGAAAGATTAAAAAAATAAATTTCTCTTTAGAAGAGCAACTTTGGCTTAGTTATGAAAGATTGTATTTTCTGAAAGGCTAAAGAGTTGTTAAATCATGGATTATTGTCTCGGTATATTTTACTTTATAGAATGGTTATATCAAGAGAAATTTCTAAAGCTTACTTTCTTTAATACTTAAATTTCTTTTATTTTTACCATAAAATTTAGTTGTATTTCTACAGATACATATTTTAGAGTCAAAGTTTAAGAATAAAGTTATCTAAGCGCATAGTAAACTTTTTCATATGCTATGAAAAGAAATATGTCTCAGTAAGTTAATGACTAAATTACAAATTACAAAAAACTAATTATTGAAGTAATGCATCAAAAACTTCATTCCTCAGATACTGATATTTTGTTGGCTGTTGCTTTGTATTTGCTGTGGATAACTGCTATAATTACTTAAAATGCTGACTCAGGATTACTTTTTATTCTTAAACTCTCCTGCTTTTCTTCTTTCTTTCTTTTCTTGGAAAGCTCTGGCTTCCCCTCCTTATCCTGTGGAAGTAGTGGTAGCAGTTCATCAAACACGGCGGTGAATTCTCCTGCTCTGTCCTATAGACTCAGCATCGGTGAGTCCATCACCAATCGACGAGATTCCACCATAACCTTCAGCAGCACCATGAGCTTGGCCAAACTTCTGCAAGAGCGAGGCATCTCTGCCAAAGTGTACCACAGTCCAGTTTCAGAGATCCCCCTCCTCCAGCCTCTCCCCAGAGGCTTGGCTATCCCTTCCACACCACCCAATTCACCATCTCACTCACCTTGCCCTTCTCCTTTGCCTGATGAGCCTCGAGTACACCTCTCTGAAAATTTTCTGGCCTCCCGACCAGCAGAAACATTCCTCCAGGAGAGGTATGGCTTGAGACCATCCCGGAACCCTCCTGATGTTGGCCAGTTGAAGATGAACTTAGTGGACAGGCTGAAGAGACTGGGCATAGCCAGAGTGATCAAAACCCCTGAGGCCCAGAAAAATGGAAGAAGCCAAGAGGCAGAAAATGGTCTTCAAAGACCAAACTCTGCTGTTTATTTAAGTTCAGGTAGCAATTTATTGAGTGGACTGAGGAGGAACCAGAGTCTTCCAGTCATGATGGGTAGCTTTGGCACCCCAGTTTGCACATCTTCACCCAAAATGGATATCCTGAAGGAGAATTGAGGGTCAGCAGTTGGCTGACCTCTTATACAAATTAGCACATGAAGGAAAGATTTGCACTGATACATGTGGTCTTGTCTGAGAGAAGAGGCATGTTGCAGAAGGGCTGTGGATGTGGGAAAGGGAAAGTGAAAGAATGGAAACAGAAATGCGATGTGGCCCCAAAGCAGGAGGTCTGTCTGATAAATTGAAAGTATAAATAAATGGGTCACGAGTGTTTGGAGGCAGAGAAGGATGAAAGTGTTAATGTAGTCCTTCAGTTGTTTTTTCTTGTCTTGAAAATAAAAAGTGACTAGAAAATCAATTCAGTAATATTGAAACATACCAGAAAGACTGAACTTGCTAGCACATTTACTTCTGGTGAGCATAAGCAGGGAACCCAAGTTATGAGATGGGAGGGAAAAAGGCTACTTTGACCATTGCCTGTTGAAAGCTGTTCTGGAAGGTTGCTGGAAGCTTGGCCTGTTACTGAGACAACAATGAGATGGCTTTTATGTTGGCCTCTGTTAAGGTCTGGTTAAACTACATACCCATCAAGGAGTAGTTATCATACAAGGAATTTTACCTTTTTCATAAGATCAGAATAGTGGAGACTCCTTTTTTGCTTTCTCTTTTCGGGCCTTTGAGCCACTGGGAGCCCGAACATCATCCACATTCCTTTTGTATCTGTGATTAACAAGAGTTCATTTTTTTAAATTTGTATTTTTATACAACATCTGCCCAAAACAACATGAGTAGTGGGTAGGAGAGATTTACTTTAAGAAGGAAAATATGGGAAATTGGAACCAAGGAGAGTTGTTTTCAAAATATTTTCTTCTGGATAAGTGTAGTAGCCAAGGCACATGAAAATAATTACGTGTCTTTCAAATTTTCTTGGAGGCTGGAAGGGTTAAACCAGAAGTGCAATCAATAGGAATTAGAGAATGTTGTGTGTTTATGTCTGTAAGTTTTTTTTGTAAGGAAGGTTGGTTGCAACTATACTTTTTCCAAAATGCACTATGCATATTTTTAATGAAAGATGACATGTATTTGCACAAAAATTCTCAGGCACAGTGAATTATTATAAACTGAAGTAAAACCCAGGTGCTTGCTTTGAGATTGTGTTTTTTTTTAATACAAAATAAAATTAAAATACATCTGCCTTTTTCTTGATATCTGTAGAATTAGAGAATGAACTTTTTAATTGGAAAGTCAAAGCTTTTGCTTTTTCTCTGAGATTCCTTTTGTTTTGTTTTTTTAAACAAATGATGTGAAACAGCAAAGTGAAACTCCGGGATTAGGTTTTAAGTTTCAGCTTTGAGCAGTGTGACGCAAGGCTGTGAAGTGGGAAGAAACAGATCTGTTTTCTGAGTGTTGCTGACCAAGGTCTGCTCCTTGTCAGATGGTCAGATGATGTGGCTTTATCTCGGCAGTCCAGTTCAGAAAGAAATGCCATTCCATGAAAGACATGATGGGGCGAAGATGAAGGAGGGGCTAATTATTTTTGAAAATGGGAAGCATGTTATTTGACCTTTTGAGTGCCTAATTTGCAAATGTTTTGCTCCCTTGTTCTGACTTAACTGAAGGGCGGTTTTCTGAAGAATTCCTGATGAGTGTTGCTCCTGTGACTCGCATCCAGACCTGTTACAGGCCAGAGGAGGGTCCTTCTATCCTCCTGAGCTCGCTCTCCTCAGGAAGAGCTCTGTGTTCAAAAGGGTTAAAAAAAAACACACATGCAGTAGTAAGAATGCGTGAGTTTTCCATGCTTTTTATGATCTTTTAATAAAACTTTCCTAAATAAATTTCTTAAAAACAAAAAGTTGAGACTGTCCTCTCTCCCCATTCTCTCCCCTTTGCTCAGTCATTCTGAAGTCAGCAGATCTTACATAGGTGTTCAGAAAGGAATTCCAGCTGGTCTGGAAGTGGATATAAGTGTCCTGATTGTGGACCAGAGGAATTCCTGATGTTTCAGTTTCGAAAATATTCCCATTCACATTTTAAATGATAATATTCGAGTTTCTATTTTGAGAAAGTAATTCTGGGGTGCTTATTTTAGCCAATTCTTTAAGTTTTTTATTTATTCTCTAAGAAAGCAACCTTCCTGTTGCCAGTTTCCAAGAAACATCAGGAATTAGGAAATATGGGGCCAGAGAGTAGAACAAAGTTTTAAATGATCAGATTTTGTGTATATTATATAAACAACTATAAATTAAGATAGATTTTGAAGTGTTCTGTATAATTAGTATCCTTTTAAAATAACCGATGCTAAAATGATCACTTTGGAGGCAGAGTGAGGACGTATTCACAGCCAAATAAGCCCGTCTGATTAAAGAGGACCAGACCTTGGTTTTTGAAAATTAAATTGACATTGGTGTTCCACCAGAAACACAGTGATTGTACACTGGTGCGTGCTTGTCTCTAGAAATGAATCCTGTTTTGAAATTGAGTTTTGCTGTTTTTGAAATTTCCACCTAAAATCATCTTTGGTACAGCCTGAGAATCTCTATTATAATGAAATTGTGTGTGAAGTATAGTAAGAACTGGAGCCTTGTAGCAAGTTCCTTCTTAATTTATCTGTTAGGTTTTAGCACTGTGCACATTTTAGTCTTTCTTTTTTTTTTTCTTCATTTTAGTTTTTCTATATCAGCTGTGTATGTACTCTCCTGCCAGTACAGGAAACTTCAGTCTTCTTTTTTCCTTCTGAAGGTTTTCGATGATTATACCTCAGGTATTGCTGATACCTTCCCTGTGAACTCAGAATTAAACGTTCTCCTGAATTATGATGACCCCAAATCTGATGTAAATAGCCTTAGGCATGGGTCTTGGGAAAAAAATTAATGCCCATTGTTAAAGTAATTTTTAAACAAATTTTGTACTATATGTCCTTGATTTCACCTGAATGAACAGGCTTTGGCAAAGGGAGGGAATAAGTGAAAGGCAGCTCACAAGAGCCTGTTCTCTATAAAAGATGTATTTTATACAGTATTCAAAGCCTGTTATTTTTTCTGAACATTCTGGTACATAATTAGTACTTGCTGGTAATATTGACTTTCAACATCTGAAACTCGAGCTCCTAGTGTGTAGTGGCTGAGTAGTTGCATTGCCAGCCCGGCCCCTGGGAGTGTCATCGGTGCCCTCTGGGGGCTGCCAGGGAGATGCTGTTGTTTGATATCTGGGGCTTGACTTTGTCAAACAGCTCTTTGTGCATCTACCTTTGCTTTGTCAAATGTAAATCAGATAATAAACATGAGTATCTTCTTAAATTTTCATTTGTCTTCCTGTGTTTTTGTCCCAGTTCTTTTCACAGATAATCCTGCATTGTCCTTCCTTTCCATTAGGTTGTTTTTGGTACAGAAAACAACCTCTATTTGCCAAACCAACACAAAACAAACCAATAATAGTCATGAGTAGTAAACAGATCTTATTGTATTTTCTTAGATTTTTTTAGAAATAGAATAGCCATGTTGTTTCCTTAGCAAACTATCAGCAACAAAAAAATAAAACCTAAAGTCATTGATAGGCAGATCTTTAATTTGAAAATAAGAAGTATGAAGCAGTTCTTTTCCTATAGTCCAGAATTTACTACTGATACTCTAAGCTATTTAGAAACTATTTGCAAGAAGTTAAGTTTGAGAATTGCTGGATTCTAATAGAAAAGGTTCTTTGATGTTCTCTTTTCTCTGTCACAATTTAATTGCTGTATCTTTTTAAAAATTCATTTAATATTCATTTAGAAATATGAACATTTTGTGAGAAATAAATGAAGTATGAGCCTCAACTTCTTTGATATATAATTTAGTGATATTCCCAGCATCTTCAATTGTGTTTTCTTTCACAATGATTATCAATAGATGTGTTTAACTTCAAAAATCTGATGAGGGTAAAGATTTGAGGTTTTCAGCATCCTGCTGATTTTCACCTCTGTTTCTATAATATTAAGTTTGGTTATGTTAGTATCAAATTTGGTATTTCTATTTTCATTTCACTTGGTATTTCATTTTTCAGTTTTTGTGAAATAAGGACTAAAATGCCATACAATTTTCAAGTGAACAAATGTTGCTGTGCAGGCTTGGCAAAGATGCCAAAACACAACTGTTGGCTGGCAGCCAGGAAGAAAGTACGAGTGAAGCATGCCAAAGGTGACGTGAAATGTTAAAGAAAAATACATAAAAATCAAAGTATTATTTCATTAAATTAATTTGTCTTGCCTTCTCAGCAAAATCGCTAAGTTGTTTAAAAGCAAGAATTTCACATCACATTCAAACGTGACAACAATAGGCCAGAAAATTTTACAAAGTATTTTAATTTCATATAACTCACCACCACTTATTAGCTATTTCACCATCTCTCAAAGCGATCTCTAGATCCATACTGTAATGGGAAGAATTGGCACCATGATTCATTCATGCTCCATCTAGACCTGTATACATATATAAAGTTAAAGGTAATCAGAATTGCATATTGCAATTATATATTGCAGTGGGGAGGATATAGGTCAATGGTAAAGCTTGTGCTTAACATGTGTAAGGTCCTGGGTTCAATTCCCAATACCTCCATTAAAAAAAATTAATAAATAAAAATTTTAAATTATAAAACTTACTTGGAAGAAAAAAAATCATATTGCAAAATTCTCTTCAGCCACAATATGTAGTTCTTGCAAGTACCACTCCAATAATGAGTTCCTGTGGAGTTACAAATGAAAACATGTAAAGGAGAAAAAAATGGATGCGCAGTACCACTGGAAAATGGTATCTCACTAAGCTTGAATCTATGTATTCATGCTATCTGAGAGTTTTTGATGAATTCCCTCTCCTCTCACCTCGCTGCTGGGGCCCCCATCACTCCTGCATTCCAAAGCAGTGTCTCTGACTTCAGCAGCACAACTCAAGAAATCTTGACGCATGTTCACACAGTCATCTTTTGTTTCGAAGATAAAGGGCAAGAGATGTGAAGTGCTCCCCTGGGGCCTGCTGGTGTTAATGGTAAGAATGGATGCTCAGAATGGATGGGTCCCACTATTGCAGAGCTGAGCTCCAGATCCAGGACCTGTGTGTTCTTTAGTAAGCTTGGGTTTTGTGTACACCTGTGATATGCAGAGCCCCCTAAAGACCAGGGCTTAGGGCAGCTGCCTTTCTTTAGAAGTATGAGGGTGGCACTGCACGCTTTAGTGTGATTCCTGTGGCTCCCTGGCTAGGAGCCATTTGGGAACTGACAAGTGGGTCTTTGGGAGTTAGCATAGCACCCCTAACTCCGATCCTGAAAAACAAGAAATGATCAAAGGAAACTGAGCAACATGAAGAAAATGACAAGCTCCTTAACAGAGCACTGTCTTTTCTGCACACGAAGTATTCTCATGGAGAACGCTCACCAGCTGATCACATTTGCCACTTTGTGAGGGCCGCTGCACCATACAAGATGGGGCCCATTTCCCCAAGCAATGTGCAGAAGAATTCTGACGACACATGTGGATTGTTCAGTCACAATTTCTCTCATTCATTTATTCACCTTACACTTGGTTATCCTGTTGGTATTCTGGCCTCCTCCACCTGCATTCCAAATACTGAGGCACATTGCTTTGGGGAAAGTTACTGAGAATGTTAGTAGCACCAGCCCCCTTCCCTGGTCTTTGGAAAGAGCTTTTTATGCAATGCCGAAGTTTCCCTAAATTCAAAGAGAAGAGCAGTTAACCCTTAGCTCCTAGAAGCCTTCATTTCCTTCCCTTCTACTGTTTTGGAGCGAAAAAGTACTCGTCTCTAAAAAGAGGAAAAGAGGGGGAAAATAATCCCAAAATAATTAGTGCTAAGCCTCAGCCTAGCCAAGTGGCTGGGATTTTCCTTCAGTGCTTGCTCCTTTGTATCTTTGTTTTTAGCCACTCTCCACACAAGACCCAAATCCTGTTTTTTTTTTTTAAATCATAAGAAAGCATTTGAATATGAATTTTCACACAATAAATGGACTTGAAGTAAATATCCAATCCCATTGTTCTCTTGGTGACATCTTTCCCTCCCTTTTAGCTTTCCCGGTAGTCTCCACCCTGTCTGCTCACGGTGCTTGGAGTCGTGGCAGCCACGGTGCAGCTCCGAGGCTCCCCTCCGGCAACACGCTGAGGCTGGCTTGACAGAAGAATGGAAAGAACTCAGTTTTGTTTTGTTTTGTTTTGGCAGTAACTTTTTAAAATTCTTCTTTTATTGAAATATAGTTGATTTACAATGTTGTGTAATTTCTGGTGTGCAGCATAGTGATGTCAGTTGTACACATGTATCTATTCTTTTTCATATTCCCCTTCATTATAGGCTATTACAAGGTATTAAATATATGATGACATTTCTGAGTCTGTATCAACTCTGGTCACATGACCTCCAGACTTTGTATTTCATGAAATTAATAAACCTCTTTGATTTAAGCCACTTTCCTTCAAGTGATGGTTATACAGCTTTAACTAACCCACTGACTGCACTTTGAGAAACACTGTCATAAACAGCGGTGTTCCCTGGGGCTCTGTACTAGACCCTGTTCTCTTCTTACACACACTCTTTCTCTGTGTGATCTCATCCACTCCTGTGGCTTAAAATATTATCTACTCTGAAGACTCCTAAACTGTTTCTAGCCCAGACTCTTCTTTTGAATTCTGCAGATTTGTACTCTTAGAGATTTCAAAGCCTGAAATTCAAGAAGAGAGTGCCCACTTTAGACTCTGAGGTTTCTGTGAGCAAATGACAGAGGAACTTAAAATCCATCACAGATCCTGTCTGGCAACTACTGCCACAGCCAATTAAGCCTAGGAGTGCTCTTAAATTCTGTTTCCTCTGAAGTATATCTTAAATGTATCTTGTCTCACATCTTGGAGAATTTCTTAATGGCTGCTTCCCCAGCCTTCTATTGTAAAGAGCATAGTGCCTGAGCCAATGAGGTGCTACCATTCTGTTTCCATAGCAATAAAAGAAACAAACCTTCCCCTGCCATCTTCCAAGGACAAACCTCACAACTCAAGGCCCAAATCAAGAGTCTGAATGGAGGGGGAATTTCTCCTCTAGCTTGACTTTCATTGCAATATTGGAAGACTCAAACCAGATCGACTTTAGGAGGGAAATTCTTACTCATGCCAGGTCAGCCTTTGTAAAAGGCCTTTGACTGGATGCACTGGAAGCCTGTCTCTCTGCACCACACATACTGTGGATTTTCTGCTCTGGCATTTCAATCACTTGGAATGACCACTAAAATTCCGAGTTCTGGAACCTCTGGATTTGACCTAAAATGAATTCGGACTTTGTGTTGATGTGACACAGCTTCTCTGTAAACTTGCGGTGTCTTTAAGACTCCCAACTTGGAGAGGAGCCACATGGGAAAAACAAGTCTTTGGGCAGTCCAAGGTAAGCTCTTTGGAAAGATGTTTTATATATTTTTTTCTTCTGGTTAATGCTAATCAGTAACCTTGCTGGAGGCTCAGCTGGCTCACTGGTGACTAAAGGATCACCAGTTGGCACATTCAGTCCATTGAGCTTCAGGTAAAGTCATCCAGAAGAGATGAAGGAAAGAAAAAGAATAAGGAAAAAGAATTCTAAATCACACACATACACACACACACCTATATTCTTAAAACCATACGAAGCCCATCAAGCCACTGTGAATACAGTAGATCTATCTATGCTGATACGGAAATATCTATTAGATAATCTGTTATATAAAAAGAGCAAGGCATGGTGTAGTGTGTAAAATATTGCTCTCATTTGTGTAAAAAATTTTAAAGATTATAGAATATTTCTGGAAGCATACCCAAAAAGCTGTTAATAGTAGTTTCCTCTTGGAAGAGTCCTGGAGGTAGAGGGCCAATGTTTAGCTCATATGCACGGATATTGAAATAGTGCCATACTGATTGTGTATACACATTGTCCAAGCTCCTCAAATGCCCTCCTCACGTGACATCCTGGTGCTCCAACACCTCCTCTGGCACTCCCAGACCTACTCAGGATTCAGCAAGTAAGGGGTTAATGTCTGGCATAGGGATAGGAGAAGGGTCCCCTAGGTTCCAGCCCATGACTATTCTGATTATTCAATAGATTTGTCTTCCCAGTTGTTAAATATTTTGAGTTTTATCCCCATAGGTGTTTGGAAGAAGACGCCTTTAGCTTTAAAGAGCAAAAAAAAAAAAAAAAAAATCAAGTCATTGTTTATATTAGGGGAGAAAAAGAAACAACTGAATGTTCACAAATACAAAACTGGCTAAAAATGTAAATGAGTACATTCATAGAAATTTACACAGTCATGGATGATATATATATATATAGAAATAACTCTCAGGCTTGTTTTAAAAATTTGCCTGAAGTATAATTAAAATTATAGATTTGCTTTAAATTTTCTTTAAAATAATCTAGTGTTAGAGGAGTGGGCTGAGTATAGAGGAATGAGACTAGACACAGATCACTAATCATTGAAGCTAGGTGATGGGGGAGTTCAATGTACTCTTTTCTCTACTTTTGTATTCCACAGTAAACTTAAGTTTAAAAATGATGACATATATATAGTTATTGACATTAAAAGAAGCTCATGACATTGTTGAAAAAAGCATATCTAGAATGTAAGTGGAGTTTGTTCTGGTTTGTGGAAAATTATACAAATCTGTTTCTTTAGAGAGAGAATTCTAGAAGACATTAACCAAAATATTTTCAGTGGTCATCTCTAGATGTTAGTATTTTGGATAATTTTTACTTCTTTAAGCTTTTCTCTATTTTGATTTTCTTTACAATAGCATATTTCAATTTAACACAGACACAAAAATAAATCTAATGTCCTACAAATTTAGAAATAAAACTTCTGCAAACAAAATTCACATGAGGATACTGAGGCTCAGAGAGGTCACCGAGGTAGCAAGTTGCAAGGTTGGGAACAAACACAAGACTGTCTGACTCCTAAGCACTTGCTCTTCCATACTAGCTGTCTCTGAAGTGAAGAGAAAGCCTGATAGCAGGTCCTGCATAGAATTTTCTATAAAATTGGCATAACAATAACTGATCCCTGATGTGGACCTGGTTCACAGTAAGCACTCAACTATGTCAAAGGTTAAAGTGCTTTCAAGTCAAGTCTACAGGGCGGCAAGGGGTGAGGTGATATTCTCTGCAGAGTCAAGACCCTATACCAACTCAGCAGCTTCCAGAATCTGCCACCTGTGCCTTGGGCCTTCCCTGGGTCCTTCGCAAGCTAAGTATTGTTGCTCTGACTCTATATGATGTTTTCCCATTTCAGCGAAGGCCTCCTGACCCAGCAGCCAAGAGTACCCCCGACCTGCCATGTACCCCAACCCTCTCGTCTACTGCACCTGCTGGGACCCCTGGAACTTGGGACCACGGAAGCTAATCAAGACCCCTCAGCCACCAAGCAGGACCTCCCCAGCGAAGCCCAAGTGAGGATCCTCTGGGGCAGAGTAGGACCTGGGAGCTCGGGCTCCACTTGCAGCTTTGTTTCTCACACAAGATTTCCAAAGCAGTCAGCTTCTCAAAAACCCAAGAAGGCCAGAAAGCCCAGCTTTCCCCAGCTGCACCTGCCAGTCCTGTCTGAGCTGAGTGTCCTTTTCAGCGAAGGAGTCTCAGCGTTAGTGCAGCAGGGAAAGGGCCTGTGGCAGCTGCCCCTCCACGGGGGACGAAGAGCTTTGGGAATGGGGGATGGGGAACGATCCATACTGAGAGCCCAGGAACCCCCGGGACAGTGAGCAGGTGTCAAGGCCTTTGGCCTGAGGTTCCTCAAGACCAGCCTGATTTTAAAGACTCCCATTGTCAGACCATGTATTCCAATTTGGGATCACTGTGGGATCTACCTTTTCTGGGAGTGCTAAACCAGGTTTCTGAATTTCCAAGTTTCTCTCCCTCATTACTTATTTTTCACTTTCAGGCTAACTCCTCTTCCTCCAGCTTCAAAAAAACAAAATTATGTCCAACCCCTAACAAAACCTGTTGTCACCCCAAAGTAAGTATTTTTACATCCAGGGGGCAGGGATGGTTCAAGGTCTGTGAATAAAATAACCTCCCTTCTTGGCCTTCCCAGCCTTTCCTGACTGGAGCTCGCTGTTGCCAGGGATGTCAGAGAATGGCCAGAACCCACTGAGATTTCCCCCAAACCTCAGATCCTACACATGGGTTCTGTGGCCCTCTGTCCCCACAGCTTTCAAAGTCACTTCAAAGGAGGTCTTAGCAGAGGAGCCCAGATACCCCTGTGCTGCCCTAGAAGGACACACACCCCATGCACATCCTAGGCAAAGAGTCTCCCATGGATTTATGGTGCTGACTCTCTTTTCATGATTACTTTACTACATCTAAGGTTTTCTGTAGATTGCAGCTCTGTTTTCACTCACCCCTTAAATTCTTTATCCATATTTGTAAGCTTAGAAGTGTGACTTAATTTTAGGCCTTTGCATGAATCGTTGTATTCTATTTATTTGGAAAGTGTTTATTGAGCACTTATTATTTGCTAGACCTTGAGTCAGGGGCAGGGGGGCAGCAGTGAGCACGGCAGAGTCTCCGCTCTCCTGGACTTGCATTCCAGTGGGCAGAGGTGGGGAGATGACCGTAAACACATTCATCCATCCAAGGTCCCCAAACCCTACACAGAAAAATAATGCAGGTATGGGGAAAGAGGGATGGTGAGGGTGGGGCTGCTATTTTACACAGAGATGTCAGGGTGATCCCTGTGTGAAGGGACAGCAGGAGTCGCGCTGAAACCTGGGACAAGCATTCCTCGCAAAGGGAGCAGCAAGTGCAGAGGCCCTGAGTGGGAACTTGCTTGGCATGCCTGATTTTTTCATGGAAAGCAGAGGCCCATGTGTGCCAGGGGAGTGGAGGAAGTGAGGAGAGTGGTGGGAATGAGCCCAGAGAAGCAGCAGAGATGCTGAAGGTAGTCGGCAGAAAAACAAGCCCCTTGAAGAGGCCCACAACCTAATCCCTGGAAACTGTAGCTAAGTTCTGTTACTTGCTAAGGGGGGATTAAGACTGCAGATGGAATCATGTTGCTGATCAGCTGACCTTAAACTGAACAGATTATCGTGGGTTATCCAGGTGGCCGTAATGTAGGCGTAAAGGTCCTTACCTGTGAAAGAGGAAGTCACTGTGGGAGGAGACATGGCCGTAGAGGCAGAGGTTGGAGTGGTGCTGCTGTTGGCTTTGAAGACAGAGGATGAGGCCACGAGGAACAGGGGCAGCTTCTAGGAGCTGGAAAAGGCAAGGAACCAGATTCTCCTGCAGAGCCTTCAGGAGGAACACAACCCTGCCAACACTTTGATTTTAGCCCCTTTCGGACTTTGACCTCCAGAACTATAACAAGTCGGTGTGGTTTTAAGCCATTAAACTTGTAGTAATTTGTAGTAGCAATAGTAGGAAATGCCTACAGTGAAGTGTGCTGGCCTCTGTAACGACGACTTTGGCTTTTACTCTGAAAGGGATGGTGTGTTTGCTGCTAGGGCCACCACAACACAAAACCACAGACTGAGCGGCTTAAACAACAGAAATGTATTGTCTCACAGCACAGTTCTGGAAGCTGGAAGTCCAAGATCAAGGTGCTGGCAGGGTTGGTTTCTGGTGAGGACTCTCCCCTTGGCTTGCAGATGGCAGCCAGCTTGCTGCCTCCTCTCACGGTCTTTCCTTTGCGCGTGCACATCCTTGGGCTTCTCTGTGTGTCCTAATCTCTCTTGCAAGGACACCAGTAAACTGGGATTAATGCCCACCCTAATAGCCTCATTTTAACTTAGTCACTTCTTTAAAGGTTGTACCTCTAAATGTAGTCCCATTCTGAGATAGCAGGGGTTAGGGCTTCAACGTATGAATTTGGGGTAGCACACAGTTTAGCCCATAATGGACAGGAAGCCATCAGAGGCTTCTGGGAAGAGTAACACGATCCAACTTGCATTTCTTGCCACCACATCAGAAGAAGCTAGTTTCTCTGACTCAATTCTTTCCACGTCCCAGCTAAGCTCCCTTATAAATACTCCTGTGACATTTGTGTACCCGATATTGTGCTCATGTTTCTGTACTTGAAAACGAAAATTAATTATAATCAGGGTTAACACCAGATCTCAGAATAGTAACACTTTGCTTATCCTGAATTCATTTAACTGGCATTTTCAGGGTCCCAGAACACCAACTTCTGGTGCAAACATGAAGAAAGGCAGTTGTGCAGACAACATAGATGTCACTGAAAACGTGTGCATTGAAGATTATGCACTGCGCTCATAGGAGGGCACTTGGGATCTTCACACCAAGTCTCTCGGCCCCTGTTTTAGCAATGGTTCTACTATTAGACTGGTTATGAGTCAATTTCCCACTTTTTTACTACCCACCATTTCATCACAATCTGTGTACCAATGTTCCCTGGACCTTTACATAGTCCCTATTTCCTGAAGTAGAACATTTTGAGAGCTGAAAGGGACCTCAGAGACTGTCCGGGTAATGTCACTTGTCACTGATGAGTGACAAGAGCTGGGTACAGCTTCCAAACTTGGAGCTTTTCTTTGCTCTCTGGTTGCTTTCTGATCATGCTTTTCTCTTGCAGAACGAAAATCTATTTAAGAAAACAAGAGGAGAGCAATAAATTACCTTATGTGAGTAAAAACAGGATGAAGGCAGTGAGACTAACATTTATTGAGACCCACTGTGTGCAGGCATGGACTTTTACACATACTTACCTCATTGAATCTGTGCAATGATTCTATGAGGAAGAGTTGTTAATTATTCAATTTAACATGCATCTGGTAAGTGGCAGAACCAGGACTTGAGGTCGGCTCCATCAGACCCCAGAGAGAACATTTAATTACCACCCCCTACCGCCTTGTGTAGGGCGAGGAGCGTGTCCCAAGGAAACCAGAGGGTGACCATCAGTCCAGGCCTGGGTATAGCTCCTGCCCCAATGTGGGAAACCCTGTGCTGCACTTGGGAACTCACAACGCCGGGGGAGGGACCATCGGGGCACCTGAGAGGAGAAGGGACAGGAAGGTGCTGGAGAAAGAGATGGGGACCAAGGCCAGAAAAATCTTGACACCTGTCCGGGAGTTTGGGTCTAATCTTTTTGGTGCCTGGGAGCCTTTTGGGGTCGGACACAGGCACAGGACTAGGTAAGACATTTTAGGAGAAAAAAAAAAACACCCTCTGGTGGGATATTATTTTACCACTTTCTGCTTTTATCTATTTTCCTTTTGCCTCCTCCGTCCCTGCCCCCACCGCACCTCCCTTAAACAAGGATCACTTAGTCCCTTAATGGTCAGGGAAAGAAATCAACAAAGATACACTAGCCCTCCAGGTGGAGAGGATGGTGAACTTGAGGGGGGCCAGACTGAAGGAGGAGAGGCCGGTAGGGAGGGGATCACCAGAGCCAAGGAGAGAGATGACCGTGGCCTGGGGCCATGTCAGGGGCAGGGGTGCGGGAGAAGGGAGGATGGGGCTGAGCTACAGTTCGGAGAACAATGACGGGTCCAGGGTGCTGCAGAGTGTCCTGAACAGCTCTGGACGCCAGTCTCATCCTGGCCTGTGCTGCCGGGCAGCCCTGCCCAGATGAATGACTTGGTATCTAATGTGGGATGCAGAAGGAACTGACTAAAATGTTTTTGGGGTTGTTTTGTTTTATTTGCAACTTAGCTAGGCAGTTTCTCATGTTATTTTGGTTTTTCCTCACAAAAGCCCTTTGAAGAAGAGTTATTATACTCATTCTCTGACAAAGAAACTAAGGCACGGAGATGTTGAATAACTATGGTTGGCGGCAGAGGCAGGAGTTAAACGCAGGCCCATCTGATCTAAACCTTGAGCAACTTCCACACTGTGGGGCCGCCCCCTGGCCCTTGGCCACGAAGGAGAGCACAGAGGAGGAGCGGGCTCAGAGGCAGAGCGGGGAGTGGGGGTCAATGGATGGGCTTTGCATGTGTTGCCTTTGAGAGGCCTGTGGTGACACACAGGAGCCCCCTGAGTCCTGCAAGTGGATTTCAGGAGAGAAACCTGGGGGAGGAAGGAGAGTGAGTGGTAACTGGGGAGGGCGCAGGGCCTTGGGCCCTGGAATCCTGCCTTATGGGCCTGTTTTTGAGATGTGAGTCCGGCACTAGAAGGAGACTGGAGCAGCCTCAGCACCCAATCCTGCAGTGTTACCTGACCTCCCACCTTCATGCTCAGGAAGTTTTCAACGTGTCTCCTGGCTACACACTCCTTCGGAATAGGGAGCAGATTTCCGTCAGCCTGGGAGACGAGATGTTTGATCGGAAAAAGCAATCGGAATCAGAGAACATGGACAAAGTCAAAATGTCCAGGTAATGCCCTTGGACCCGCGTCTAGCTCCTCAGACCCAGCCCCGCCTGCCCTGTCTTGGCTGAGGGCCGGCCCACCGTGTCCCTTCCCTGCTCCACCCTGCGTTGGCTCCTCTCCCCACCCACCTCTTGGCTCCAAGCCCATTCGAGTCAGGATGACGGACCAGTCAGTCAGCTGAGCTGGAAAACAATTGGGGTGGTGTAACTCATATTAAAGGAAAGTAGTTGTTCCTGGAGGGGATGAATAGATAAAATATTTATAAAATAGTCTGCATTTGGAAGTGAGAACTAAGAAGAAAGTCGGAATTTCTGGGAGGCCCGAGTCTGCATCTCTTCTTTATTATGTCCAAAGATGCCACTCAATCTATGCCTCTGAGAGACGGAGGATTCCAGCCTGACTCCACCCGGCCACGCATGGCCATCCCCTTGGTCATTCCAGCCCCACTCTCTCCATCCTCTGGGACTATATAAAGTCGGTCCCCACAGCCATCTCATTCTGCCTCCTAAATCTCTCATTCGTATCTTCTCTTTCCCCACCTCCTCCGACCTCCTCTCTCTTGTTTTCTCACCCTCTTGGATCAAGGACCTCATCTCTGCTGCCCTGCCCCCTGTTTACTCCAGATGTCACAGAGGCTTCAGACCCAGAAACACAAAAATCCGTAGTCTACTCTGAAAGCCACACTCTTGAATCCCCTCTTCGACCCATTCCTGGCCCCTTCCTTGTTTCAGATTCACTGTCGGCATCAATCCTACTCCTTGACCTCATTTCCTAATCCTCCATTTCAACTGTCTTTACCAAGTCAAGGTCAAAGCCTAATAGGTTCCTGACATAGTCCTCTCTCCCTTCTCCTCAGTGGGTCACCAAACCACCCCTGCTCACTCTGGCGAGCTTACCCAAAAGGGCTGCCTCTGAGGCTCAACCACCCTACTGCCAAATTCCCTCTCCCCCTCCACCCCCACCCCCAGGATGACGGAGCAGGTGCAGAGCACAGCCTTGCTCAGGGAGGGGCCTGCCTGGGAGTGTGTGGGTGATAGATTACTCGTGCCTAGGACGGATATCGTTGCGGACCTAGAAGAACAGATCTCAGAACTGACAGTGATAATAGAACAAATGAACAGAGACCATCATGCTGCCCAAAAATTGGTGAGTGATACTTGATCTAGCCGGCATCTCTACAAGAAGGAGAGAGACCAGTAGTTTCAGATCGCCCACTAGGTTCCTGGCAAGAGGCCACGCACTTCGGTCATGGGAACCAGGCTGTCCAGGGGACAGGTGTGAAGATCAGACCATGGTCACCCAGGAGTAGCTCTCTGACTCCATCCTCATCCGTAACTTCAAGAACTCAAGTCCCTCCTCGAGGCCTAACTCAGCTCCCGGGAGTCCTCGGGGCACCTCCGGCATGTTCAGCACCACTGTCTGCTCCACACTTGGGGTGCCAGCCATTTCCAGGGGGGCCTGCTGTGGTCTTTGTGCTGCATTAAATTTCAGACATTGCTGAGGCTCTTGCTAATGGCACCAGCATGACCAATACTTCCAATTTTGCTCAAAAGCTGCCCAGAAGCCTCCAGGACCTACTCCTCATTGCTGTTTTAATTACCCAAATCCCCTCTTCAGAATCTACTGATTTCAGTTTGCACTCTTTGTGTTTCCCCGGGATGTGGGTGACACTTCTTTTAGATTTTACCATTTGTTTTATCATGGTTTCTTCTTCCTGACTCCAAGCAGAGGTGCCCGGTGGCATGGGCTGGAGTGATAAACCGGAGATGCTCATGTCCCCTCCCCACCCCACCCCCCGCCCTTGCCTGCTTTTACTGAAACTCACGTTTGAAGGTTGACTTCCCCAGTGTGTCTGAATCCTGCGGTGACCTAGCATGTGACTCACACTGAGACTTTCCCTACTGGTGATTCGTTACTATATTTATCTGAAAACCCTGCCAGGTTTATGGCCTCCTTCTACAGAGAGGAAATGGAGGCTCAGGAAGTTAAACTGCATGAGATCACTTACCTCATCAGTGGTGGGTTATTGGACAAAACACACACTTAGACTCACTGAAGCCTCCACCCTGCTGAAGACATATTTAGATTACTTCCATGGAGGGACCTCAGAGTGTGATCCTTAAAATTCTCCCACCTGTGAACACCCCAAAGTGTCGTGTGACCCTGGGGAAGGGAGGAGTGCTGGCTGCCACTGTGTAGTCAGAGAGGGACAAGGACAAGCCCTGGACCCTTGTCTCAGCTGGAAGTGTCCGTTCTTCCTGAGACACTGGCCAGAGCATCCGACGAGTGAGAAGGGAGGGCCGCTGGGAGTGAGCATATCCCGTCCGCTGGAACATGGCCATTCTGCCAACGAGGATTTACTAACACTGGGTTGTAAGTTCAGTGAAGGCAGAGTCTGAGTCTTAGGCCTCTTTGGCTCTTCCATTTCAAGCCTTTTGCACAATTAATGTTTGCTCAATTGAATTATGTATCCAAGAAGCCAAAGGCCGTGATCTTACAAAGAGATTACAGTCCAGCCAAAGAGACCAGACCTGCCCACAAAACAATGCAAGGGATGCTTTCCATGCACCAACATTATGAACCGATTATGTACCAAACAACGTAGAGCAAGGCAAGAATTGTTCTGCTCCGTCAGTAACGATGACACTGCAGAACACACACAGGAGGGGCGTGGGGAGTGGGGCACCCCATGAATGGAGAAGTCTTCTCAGAAGGTGCAGGTTGGAGGGAAAGTGGGGTCCCCAGTGCTGTCTCATTAATGCTGGCCTCCTTTCCAGCTCTCTAATGAAATGGATCTCCGCTGTGCTGAGATGCAGCAGAACTTTGAAAGCAATAAGAGGTATGCTTTCTGGCATATGCCAGTGTGTGCTGGAAGTGTGTCCCTGTGTGCTGGAAGCCCTAAGGCTCCTGCATCCCAGCAGGATTTCAGCTCACTGGGATTTCAGGAGGTGCCAAAGGGAGGTGCGTGGAAAGGGAAGGGGAGGCGAGAGACATTCTTTGGAGAGTAGAATGGAGAGCCACTGAAATCTAGCACAGAGAAGATTATTCTTGGTTTTGCACTTTCCCGTCCAATTGTTTCATTTCAATTATAATCTCCCTTTCGGCTGAATGCGGAGAAGAGCCAGTTTTTGGTTCTCTACGAGATTTCTGTGGTAAATGTTGTTCTCAGCCCAGTCTCTCCCTACCCCGCTCCTCTTCCTCATTCTCTTCCTCTTCTCACCTCTCCTGTCCCTGGCTGCTAGGTCAGGGCCTGGGGAAAATGGGAAGAAGGTATGGGAGGGGCAGGAGCCAGGGCTGCAGAGACAAACCAAGGGGGAGAGAAGGAGGTGTGTTGTCGGTGTGAGTGAGGAAACCCACGAAGTCCCCTTCCACACCCTTGCTGGGCACCGGAGCAGCCTCCAGCAGTCCTGCTGGAGAGAAGTCCTCCTGGTTGTCATAGACTTGCTTTTTAAATTTTTTAAAAATTAATTAACTTATTTACTGTATTAAATGACTTTTTTTAAAAGCAATTTTAGGTTCACAGTAAAATAGAGTCAAGTACAGAGAATTCCCACATACCTCTGACCCCACACCTGCACCACCTACATCATCACTGACATCCCACACCAGCCCAGGGCATTTGTTACAATCAGTAAACTTAACGCTGATACACCTTTATCCCCCGAAGTCCACAGTTTACATAAAGGTTCCCTCTTGGCGCTGTACATTCTATGAATTTTGACAAATGTTTAGTGACATGTATCCGCCATTATGATGTCATACAGAATAGTTGTGCTGCGCTAAAAATCCTCTGGGCTCTGCCTAGTCCTCCCTCCCTCCCTCCCTACTGATCCCTGGCAGCCACTGAACTTCTGACTGTCTCCATAGCTGTGCTTTTTCCAGAATGTCATATAGTTGGAATCATACAGCCTGTATCCTTTTCAGACTAACTTCTTACACTTATTAATATGTATTTAAGGTTCTTCCATGTCTTTTCCTGGCTTGATAGTTCATATTACCTTTTATTTTAACACTCTTTTTGAACACTGCCATCTTTTGCCTCCTGGAATGGAGGCTGGAGGGACCCTGGACTCTAAAATTATCCTGGGTGCCACTGCAGCCCACAGTTTCCCAAGAACACTATATGCAAAGACTGTGCTGTTGGAGGGAGTCTGTGGCCCCTGCCAGCTCCATTCAGAATGGTGGATAGTGAAACCAGGGGTCTTCTCACCCTTTTCTGGATGGATGCCAGGTGAATGTGGAAGGAGTGAGGGCCATGCCACCTGCCCACCAGCTTCCCGTGTGAGGGAGGAGAGGTGGGATCAGGTGAACCTTCCACTGGTGACTGTAGCCTTCTCCTGGGACTCCACAGGGAGCTTGAGGAGGCTCACGCAGCACAGCTCAGTAAGCTGGAGGAAAACTACAAAGCAGCCTTGAAAGCAGAGAAGCTGGCTGCCAAGGATAAACTCGGTACGCTTGGGACCTGGGAGAATGACCCTGGTGAAGGGGCGGAGGCTGACCATGTGGGTCTAGGGCCAGGAACTCCCACAGCCACAGGTGGACTCTGGCTAGGCTTTTGAGGTTTCCTTCTAAAGCCCAGGAAGAGGGAGTGGTTGAGAATGAAACTGAATAAAAGGCAAACTATGTCAACCAAAGTCCTCCCGACTCCCAGAAGATGGAAAGGCTTGCAACCAAGTGTCGGAATCTGAGGAAGTCCCTCCATCTCCTTGAGCCTCAGTTTCCCCATCTGGGAATCAAAGACAATAATACCTGCCTTTGTCAGAGTGATAAGAGTGTGAGGGCACTTTTTGACGTATATTTAAAAGTTCTACAAATGTAATACTGTTGCATTTCAGCAAGTTTCCTCACCTGTAGAGTGATGGTGTTTCATTAAATTCTGATACAGGAAAAAGTGGGAGCGGGGGGAGCTCCAGAGGACGGCCGTGTCCCAGGTCTGGGTTGAGCCCCTGGGACGTGCCCCCCATCAAGTGAGGGTCCTTGGCTTTATGCAGGAGAGAATTCAAGAGTGATCAGAATGAGATATTATTTCTCACACAATTGGATGGCTATAACCAAAAAACAGACAATCACAAATGATAGCAAGAATGTGGAGAAATCAAAACTCTCAAACATTTCTGTGGGAGTGAAAAATTGTGGAACCACTTTGTAAAATAATCTGGTAGTTCCTCAAATGTTTAAACATAGAGTTACCACATGATCTAGCAATTCTACTCCTAGGTGTATACCCAAGAGAAATTAAACATATGTCCACACAAAAACTTGTACGTGAATATTGATAGCAGTATTATTCATAGTCATAAGGTGAAATCAACCTAAATTCATCAGCTGATGAATGGATAAATAAAATGCAGTATATGCCTACAATGGAACATTGTTTAGCCATAAAAGGAATAAACACTGGCATATGCTAAAAAAAAAAAAAAAGAGTGAGCCACAGTTGAGTAAAAGTTGATATATTTAGAGAGATGTACCCTGGGGCTGGGGAGGGTGTGGTTGCTTAAAGTAAAGGTGGACACACACTTCATAGACAGAGAGCAGGCCGTGTTGGAAGGCAACAGAGAGACTGCTAGTTGCTAATTTTCATATGCTAACAAGAGAGAGGATTATTCGAACTACTTTGGGGAAGGGGCGGGGATTCCCAAGAATTGGGCCACCGCCCCTCAACCTTTCATGGTTGTGTCGTGGTGCTTGTGTGTCATTCACCATGCTAGTACATTACAATGTGTATAATGCAGCTCAAGGCCCACTGGAGGGCGAATCTCCCGCCATCTCCCAGTCTCAGGGTCTGTTGGGAATTGGCTTTTCCACCATCCTGGTGCTAATTGCTGTGTCATTCTTTTAATGGCTGTGTCCTGCCCTCTTCCCTCCTGTCTCATAACTGACACACTGTGATTTGTATGGCCTTATAAACCATAAGGGTGGTGTGCGTGATTTATCCCATAAGTAGTGCTGCCCTTGGGAAGGGCAAAGTGTGTATCTTTCAGAATTCTGAGTGTATAGACTAATCTCCACGGGGAAAAGGAGAAATTCTATAACCTTCTCCCTTTCTTTTGTCTTATATTTTTAAAAGACAGTATTTGTACCTTGCTGGTTTTCCAGTTCTCCAAAGAGAACATATATTGTTTTCAAAACCAATGCACACTAGGAAATGTTATTTAAAAAAGAGAGAAGTAGGTACATCCTCCAAGGTTTTGTTTCTCTTTTTCCCTCAAATATAGGTTTGCCCCCAGGGATTCGTTCTCAGCCTCCTTGGTGTGCATCAGAATCACCTGAGAAGAATATTATCGGCAGGTTCTGGGCCTCACCTCTCAGACCTCAGTAGGTTTAGGGTGGGGTCCAGGCATCTGAATTTCTAATAAGCTTCTGGAGTGATTGTGGAGGCACACCATGGTTTCACCACCGAGGGGAGGAGTTTGAGGTGGAGAAGGTATGCGGGAAAGCTCACATTTGAACTTGAAAACTTGCATTTCTGGGGAATAATGATGACCTTGTTGTTTTCCTTTTGTCCAGAGGAAATGGGAAAGGAATATAAGTACTTGAAGAACATGTTTCATGTATATCAGGTGAGATTCAGAGCTCCGTGGTGAATTATGAGAGTAAGAGAAGCAAGGCTCATTCCTGGCTGATGATGCGGAGATGCATCTAGACCTCTTGCCCAGAAAATAATTTCCTGAAATTCCCAGCATCCCTGAACCTAAGTGGCACTCAGTGCACCCAGGGAGAAGAGTGAACCTGGGGACTGACATGGGGTCCGTGCAGGACAAGATGGTCACCTGGACCCTAAAAAAGCCCATTGAAAAATATGTTTGTGATTATAAAAGTAATAACCGCTCATTGTTTTTTTTTAATGGAAATTCAAAAGCCAAAAGCAGCAACAACAAAAAGAATGAACCATAATCACCCCTGTGGTAACAACCACTGTTTGTTTTGTTTTGTTTTGTTTTGTTTTAACAACCACTGTTAATGTTACTTTGTAACATCTTTGATTTTAGAGGAGTACTGAGTCAAAGCAAATAAACATTTTTAAGGCCTTTGATGCATCTGGCCAAATTGTCATCAAAAAAGACTATATCACTCTGTGCTGCTCCCGCAAGCGCAGAGTGAGGTGCCCTAGCCGTCTCAGAACATAGCCCATTCATTTAATCAGCTAACTTGATGGAAACCCAGGGAACCAAAGCTAGGGCATGGTTTCCTCCTAGCGGGTGAGAGAGTGGGAGACAGGAAGTGGACGAGGGGAGTGCTGGGACAGCAAGCCCCCTTCCTGTGGTGACCAACTGGTCCTGGTTTGCCAGGGACTTTACAGGTTTTAGCATTGACAACCTGGAGTCCCAGGGAAACAACACAGTCCCAGGCAAACAAGGACAGTTCATCACCCATCAAAGGAGGAAACCAAGTTAGGCACCAGCACCACCTCTGAAATTCTATTTACCACTCACAGTTTCAGTTTTGAGCTTTATTCAAAACTCATTTTTCAAGATGCACCTTGATATACTCAGGGAAAACATCACAGAGCAGAGCCTAAGAGAAGCATTGATTGACGAGCAGGTGAGCTGCCCCAATTTCCTAGGTCTACTTTGTGTTCGCTTCAACCTGGGCCCCTCCAGAGATGGTGAGCTCTATGGAAACTGACCTGCCCACCAATCTTGAAAAGGATGAGAACCTCTACCTAAATGGCCACAATTACAGATGAGCACTGGTGCCCAGGCACTGTGTGAAGCCTGCTGCTAACCTGAGAAGGAAGTAGGGTCAGGGTCCTGAGACCTTCCTGGCAGCCTCTGGGCCCTGAGACTTCCCCTCCTGATGTCCCCGCCTCATGAGGTCTGAGCCAACCAATGGGACTAGCATCAGGTTAGGCTTATTGAACCCTAACCACAGAGGGAGTTAGGTCTGCTGAGGAAAAATGAACCCTCGGAAAAGCGTCCCATTCTTTTCTAAGTGTTCAAATTAATGACTAGGTAGAATTACTAGAGACAGTATATAAATATATAAATATATACGGTATTTTGACAAAGCATTTGGTGAGAAATTTCATGATACAAAAATAAGAAAATGCAGACCAAGTGGAAGCACAATTAAGGGCATTTCTTGCACATATAAACCTAACAGAGTGCTAATTAATTGCTCAATATCAACTTAAGAATCACTTCTAGTGGAGTGAACCAGAAGTTTGACTTGGCATTGTTCCATAAAACACTTTCATCAATGACTTGAAAGAAAATATAGTGGGTATAATTATTCAAAAAAAATTAAAAACTAGACATTTCCCGTGTTTCCTCCCGTGCTATGATGAGTGATTCCTGTTTCAGAGGGAGCTGCCATGTGCATCTGCAGCATGGGGAACGCTGCCTGTCTGCAAAGGAAGCCCAGTTCCAGGAGGGCAAACACCAGGCAGAATTTGCCTGTGATCTTTAGGTTCCACAGGCTTGCGGGTGGGTTGGGCTGGAATTGAATCCCACCAGTCACCATATGGGGACCCCTGGCAAGTGTCCCAGCTGAGGGAAGCTATAAAGGGCCCAATGCTGAGCCTCGGGTCTGGGAGGCAGGGGTGCAGCCTTTCAGGATGCTTTTCCTCATGGTACTTTGCGCCTCCACAGGACAGCGTTTATGATGAGCTGGAGGACAAGTGGTCAAAGAAGAAGGCAGAATGGGAGAAGGATGAGAAGATGGAGCGGGAAAAGATCCTGCTATGGCAAAGTGAGTACAGGAACTTTGGACTTCTTGATGACAGGTGCACAAAAAACCTGGCATTAAGTTCAGTCTCAACTTGAAGAAGGCAGCCTTGGAGTCACTATGGGTGATGAGCCGCATGGCTGGACTCCTGAATGGAGGGTGTCTGGAGTCTTCAAGACAGTGCAACAACGGTGGAGTCTTTTCTGGGGTCTCAGCCTTGGTGAGCATCAGAATGACCTGAGAAGCATGTTATATCGGCAGATACTGGGCCTCGCCTCTGAGATCTCAGTAGGTTTAGGGTAGGATCCAGGCATCTGAATTTCTAATAAGCCTCCAGAGTGAGTATAGCAAAGTGAGTCCCCTGAGGACCTAAGCCGCATCTTCTAGAACTCACTGGTGGCTGGAACAAGCTTGGGGACATATGTAGGAGTGCAGACTTGTTATCTGGATACAGGTGACCTCGAAGTTCCAGGAGAAATAGCTCTAGAATTTGTTTCAAATATTCACTTGTTGGGGGAAGGACAACACAATTCATTATACTGAGAGTCTCTATATTCCCATGCCCTACTCTAAGGGAGCCAAGTTTCATATATAATGTATATTTTAATTGAGATATAGTTGACATGTAAGATTGTATACATGTAAAGTGTACAACATGTTGATTTGATACATTCATATATTGCCATATATTTTTAATATTTCCAACACTTAGCAAAGAGCATGGATCATGCAGAATGCTCAACAGGAGAGCCTCCTACCCACCCTGCTTCTTCATAAATGGAAAAAAGAGGGAGAAATTGATGGAGACTCTGCTCCCTGACTTAGAGGACCAGTTGAGGTAGACATGCGGCTATGTAAACCTATTCCCACATCCTCAACCAACCCAATTCAGATCAGAGTTAGTTGATTTTAACAAATTACTCATGTAAATGCAGGTACTCCCTGGGAAATTTCATCTTCAAGGCCATTCCCACTCTGGACTACCAGAAGGGAGTGTGAAGACCCTGGAGTCAAGGCTGGGCAATGGAACATGGAGCTGCTCCTGTTTGAGGCTTTACCTGGAATCCTGGTGTAGAGCAGCCTGGCTCCTCCCCTAGACTCCCAGCTACTCCTACAACACTCTTCCCATGTTGCCAAAGTCTACATTAAGTTGCTACAAACTTAGTTTGGAAGACCAGACTTTAGCTGCTCATGATGTAGCTCAGTCCAGACATATCTTGTGAGCCCAGGGGTTGCTTCCCTATCCATCTCTAGCACTGCGATGTGGAAGGAGAAATTTGTGTGAGCCCCTAACCCCTCCTTCCTCCTGTTTAGAATTGGGGCTCTGCTGGCAGGTTCCTTCACCCTCCAAAACCACTGAAGCCTATCTCTACCCCAAGGCTAGGTACAGAATGAATTTTATTGGTGGAAAAGTCACGTTAGCCAAGAGCCGTATTGTAAGATAAGGATACATAAGAAAACATAGGGGTTACTTCAGCAGAGGGAATGGACAGATAGTAAGCAATGGATCTGACCTAAACTGCACAAAGAGAACCAGAGGCATTAGAGGTAAATCCCACATGGCTGATATGATTGGGAATCACTGCCATGTTCACCTCACTCTCAAGCATCTCCAGGTGGCATCAGAGGCCAAACATCAGGCTGAAAGGACCTTGAGTTTGACCCAGTATGGAATTTTTGTTATCTTCAAGTATTCTGGTTGTCTTTCTGCATCTGTTTTTCCCACATTTAAATATATATGTGATTTCCTTACCTCCACAGAATATAGGATAACCAAAAAGTTTGAGTTAGAGTCCAAAGAAGAGAAGAAGGAAATAAATGCTATGCTTGAGAACTTATGTCGGGAGAAGGAGGTAACTCAACCCAAAGCACATCAGTGGTTGAATGTGCAGTCTGGGTGGGACGTGCGATTCCCAGGTGTGCCTCCGTAATTACACAAGCTTTTTGGCTTTATGGGATAGTCCTCCTTTCCCAGCTTCTCAGGAAATATATACAAGTAGACTGTCAGTCTTGCTGTCCTTTATCTAAACAGTCTTACCATAGAGTTATTGGAATGAAAATTGTAATTAACAGGAAATAATAGAATCCTAACATACACAGAACCTGAAATTCCCTATTCTGCCAGAAACTGTCTCTGAATGTCCTTCTCATCCTTGACCGTAACTGAAGAGAAAGGGCGTTGTTGCAAACTAAAGTAAGCAAATTTGGTCATGTACAACCCACGTTTGATGAGTTTTGACAAACTCATCACTTTTTTGATTCCCACAGCCATGGATTACTTTTGCTTGTTTTTAAATTTCATGTAAATGGAATCATACAGTATATGCTCTTTTGTGTACCGTTTCTTTTCCCTCAATATATACTTTCTGTGAAATTCATCCCTTCATTATTCACACCAGTAATTTCTTCCTTTTTTATTGCACAGTAGGATTTCTTTGCAGGAGTATCACAGAATGTTATGACCATTTTTCTGTTTTGGGAGGCTTTGGTTGTTTCTTTTTTTTTTTTGGCTTTTACAAATATAGCTTCTATAAACACCCATGTACAACTATTTTTGTAGATATATGCTTTCACTTATCTTTGGAATATACCTAGATGTGCTATGACTGGGCTCTAGGGTCGGTACGGGCTTAACCTTATAAGAAATTACCAAGATATTTTCCACCGTAGTTGTACCATTTTACTCCTGCATCCTAAATGTAAGAGAAGTCCAATTGTTCTGAATCATCAACAACTAGTATTACCAGCCTTTTAATTTTGGACATTCCAGTGGGTATGAGGTGCTATTCCAATTACCATTTTAGTTTTCCTGATGACTAATTATGTCAGGCAATTTTTCATCTTCTTCTTGGACCATTTTTACATCTTCTTTTGTGAAGTTTTGGTTCAAGTCTTGCTATTTAAAGAGAACTTGGATTGTTCATCTTTTATTGTTGCTACATAGGAGTTCTTTTGTACTATGACAGGTTCTTCATCAGATAGATGTGTTGCAAATTCTGTCTCCCAGCCTGTGATTTGCCTTTTCACTTTGCTCATGCTGTCTTGCCACGTGTAGAAGTTTTTGATTTTGATGAAAATCAGTTATCAATTTTTTTCTTTTATGGTTACAGTGTTTTGTGTACTCTGTGAAATTATTGCCCATTCCAAGGACATGAAGATATATTTTTTAAAAAGCTTTATAACTTTAGCTTTTATGATTCTATAATCGATTTTGAATAATTTTTGTGTATGGAGTGAGATAAAGGTCATAGTTCATCTTTTTCCATATGGATATTCCTTGTTCCAGAATGACTTGTTGAAAACCATTTTCTCCTCTATTCAGTTGCCTTGGTGTCTTTGTTGTATTTGAGGGAGCAAGGGGTGGACTCTCTATTCTGTTCCATTCAACAGTTTGTCTATATTTAGGTCAACAATACAGTGTTTTCATTATTGCAGCTTGAAATCAGGAAGTAAAAATTTCCAGCTTTGCCTTTTCAAGATTATTTCAGCTCTTTGATACCATTTGTAGTTCTATATAAATTTTAGAATTATCTTGTCAAAAAAGCCTGCTGGCATTTTGAGTGGGGTTGCACTGAATATAAAGTTCAGCCTGTGGAGAATTGGATATTTAACAGTATTAGATCTATACACTAACAAGAAAAGCCTTTCATGAAAATATGATTTCTTTTAATGTTTCTCAATGCACTTAGGTTGCACATGAGTAACATTTTCATTATGTAACTTCAGCATGTCATGTCATTAGTTTATAATGTGTGCTTCATTAATCCAGCATCTAAACACTGGTGAATATTACATTATATTCCTGAATCCTATTCTGGCTTTCTTAATTTTCTGAAAGAAGTGCCAGAACTCCAGTGTTGATCTTTTCCCCAAAAAATTATTTTTAGGAGCTGTTGAAACAACATGAAAGGGACACCTTGCAATTAGAGGAGCTGAGAAATACCAAAGAGGTAAGCTTTTTCATTTGTCCTGTGGAATTAGCATCTTACAAATATCTTACTAGAATGATACACTCTCAAAAGATGGAATCTATAATTTTCCCGAATCAATTAAAAAATGGAAGACATAAAGTTGAGTTTGCTAGATTCAATAAGTCAAAAGGGATTTTAGAACTATCTGAAAAACAAAGCCATTGTTGTTTATTTAGAGCCAGATTTGAACAAATGTATGAACAATATACTGTATGATCTCAAATGCATTCCATTTCTAGTGAGGCTCAAACCATGAAGGGGCCTTGAATAATAAAATGCTGGATTCTTCCTTTTAAGCTCTGAAATGTACAATACTGTTGCCTGGGAACACTGACTCCAAACCTTTCCTATGATACCGCAATGGTTCATCAACCCATGTTGATACATCATTTTTAACTGACGTCCATAGTTTAGCTTGGGGCTCACTCTTTGTGTTATACATCCCATAGATTTTGTCACATACATCATGCCATGTATCTTTCATTGCAGTATCATATAGAACAGTTTCTCTGCCCTAAAAATCCACTATCCTCCACCTATTCATCCCTTGCTTCCCTTCCCAACTCCTGGCAACTACTGGTCTTTTTTACAGTCTCTGTGGTTTTGCCCTTTCCAGAATGTCATATAGTTGGAATCCATACTAGATATTTAAGAAATACTTATTAAATGAATGGATGATTGTTGGCTGTTGTGACAACCCATGTGAGCTCTGGTGAGGGCTGGCTCTGGGGCAGTGACAGTGAGACTGGAGGGTACAGACAAGTGAGATTCAGAGGAGGAAGAATTAACAGGACATAGTGACTGAATGGTGTGGAAGAAGGAGTATCTTAAGCTGATGCTTCAGATTCTAATCCAGGTGCCCCGGAGAAGAGAATAAATAGGTAGACATCATCATGATGTCCTGAAACAATTTCTTCTTACACAGGTCATAGAGGAAGAGTTGCACGCTCAAGCTCTTATCCTAGAATCACTTAACACAACCCTCTACCAAACCCAGATGGAACTCCAGAGAGAAGTGAGTCCCGGCTGGGGTGGGGACGGAAGTTGAAAGGAGGAACCAGGCCTCTGTGCAGCTTTGCCATATTGCTCTGCTCTGGATGACTCTAGTTTGGGAAGGATGGTTATTAAAATGTACGTGTCTTTCAGAAAGCTCTGGTTGGAAATCTGGAGAAAACATTCCAGACCAAGCTTGCTGAAGCTGAAGAAAAGTTTAAATACACAATACAGAACCTGACCGAAGAAAACATTCATCTAAGGTATGAATGATGCTGCTCAGAAAGACGAGGCTGAGTTATCTTCAGAAAGTGGGACGAGTTGGGTGAGGAGTAGGTGACAATGAACCTAGGTATGCCCTCGTGCAGTCAGGGCACTTTCAGGAGGGAGACCTTCGCTGTGAGCCTGGCCACGGAAGTTACCCGCTGCGGTCCGTCCACTCAAAGTGGTGCTAGGAGTGTGTCTAGGCTCCTCTCCCTTTCCTATCTTAGTTTTTGTGCAAAATGACACTTGAGATTTACCTGACAGTCTGTGAGTTTATTCAGTTTTATGACTGAGGCTTACTTTAAAATCCAAGACCTTAAGCCTTGTGATCTTCTACTGTGGGCTTTATGCCTTGAAGCGCTTCTTTGCTTATAGGGAAGAGGTATTGCGGGGTCTATCTGAATCTTGATAAGAGATGCACTGTGAATTTTGCCAATATCAGTTGGAGGTTGTGCCCTTAAGGAGGATGGTAGCTGATTCAACAGAGACAAATGATCAGTGTTTCCAGAATCAGTTCTAGTGCCGTGAGAGGCAGAGGAAATCAAAGATGTCACAGGCTCACTTAAATCACTCGGTTGGCTGCTTTGATGACTGCTGTCAATTCTAGAATTATTTCCCTCTTTTGGGGAGAAAAATATTCTGGCATGATACTTCTCTAAGAATCTACAGCTTAATAATGGGTAGGGGCAGAGGAACTAAGGAGAAAAGGGTGTCCATGTCTCAAAGAACCCAAACAAAAAGGAATATGATGTTCAGAGACAGGAATCTCTTGAGGTTCATTATGGATCCCTGCTATCTGACTGTTTTAGTGCTCTGAGGCAGGGGCTATTTTATGGCAATGGGGTTGAACACTGAGAGTGTATCTCCTATGCCAGTTAGAACTGGAAGAGATTCATCCCCAATCTGGAGAAATGTTTCTCCAAGCCAATTAAGAGGGAGGACTGGAAAGAGCCCCATCATTGAGAATTGGGAGGATGTTGGAAAGGCTGGTTAAAGGGCTAGAGATGACTGATGCACTTAAATTTGTAACAATCTCTTTGCCAATGCCCTGGCTCTTTACAGTATTTGGAGAAAGTAGGAGCATCCTTGTCTTGTTGAGGACACTTCATTTTCTGGAGTTGAAGATGAAGAATTTTGGCATTCTTCCTTCTAGGTGACTCATCTAGAGTGTGAGAGAGCTGGTTTGCCAGATTAACTAAATTTTTGAGTGGACGTAGTTTCCCATCCCATCCTGCTTCTTTTTATAGAAGGGAAAGGTCCCAGATCAGCTCACTCATAAACATATTGTTAAAAGCTACCTGGGTGGAATCAACCTGTTTAGGAAAGCCTAACTTTTCTTTAAAAACAATCTGAAGTCAATTGTAACAGTCATGAACAGGTTCATCAGATCTTTGTGTGCAAGCCCGAGTTTTGTTCCAATCAACAGTCTTTGGAAATGCCCCAAGAATTGCTCGATGAAGTCACCTAGTGGTTGCTTGAGCCATATAATAAGTTAGCTGGCCAGTCTCCTGATTGCAATTGTAGAGACCTTTCGGGATTTTCCTAATTAGCGCTTTTCATCTAATGCTGAGCCTGGCCCTCACCAACAAGCATAGGAACCAGCTGATATCAGTCAGAGAAACCATGTTGGTAGCTTTGAATGATGGTAGTAAATTCCTCAGCAAGTCTGTGAGGATCTTTGGCTACTTTGAGAAAACCTTTGACTGTGACTCGCAGTTCAGCTTTAGTCCAAGAAGTATGAGAAATTAAGGATCTGGATCCTCAGAAGGCTTAATTTTAAAGGGACAGTTTCTGCCAAGTTGAGAGGAAAAGGGAGTGGGGAGGGTTTCAGATAGAAGGGGAAGTTCAGTGAAGGAATTAGCACAGCGGAACTGAGGGTAGGGAGGAAGTGGAGGCAGCGTGGAAGGGAAGGAGGAAGCTGGTGCTAGAGGCAGAGTCTGCCTACAGGAAGCCAAGGGAGACTTTCAAGATGGTGCTAGAGGCGAAGCCCGAGACAAGGGAGCCGAGGAAGAGCCTGGGCCCTCAGGAGCCAGTGTATCTTTGATCACTTGTTTGCCTCAGTGAACCTCAAAATCTTATTTTGCAGAGAGGCAATTTTAGACTCCTGATAGCATTTGGAAGCCTCAAAATATCAATCAAAATAAACATTCCACTCAGTTTTGGAAATTTCTGAGATACTGTGGTCCAAGTTGGTTTTAAGAAAGTTAAGTTTGGGATTTCAAAAGTTCTCCATAATGGCCATTATGATCCTAACTTGCCTTTGGTTGGGTCAGTCCATTTAGTTGGAAGTGCACATGAGGAAGGACCACAGTTTTTAAAATTTGTTGGAGTCCCTGTAAGCAGGGGAGGGGGGCACCATCAAAATATTTAGGTAACTGGTGTCCCATTTCTCAGAGGTTTTTCTGTAAATGAGTAATTTTCAAATAGCTCAGTTTACAGCTCAATTCAAACAGCTTGAGACTCAAACTGCTAATACCAGCCAGTTCTCAAGAAACAGACTGATCCCAAATGAGCCAGACCAGAGGGTTTTCAGCCAGTTTCCAGAGGACAGCCCCTATTCCAAAGGAATGAGCCGACAGCTAAATCAACAGTTTCAGTGAAGCAGCTCCTATTCCCAAAGGAATGAGCTGACAACTTCTCAGCCAGCTTCAGTTGATACAGTCTGATCTCAAAATGAAATCAATTTACACATAGAACAAGCCTTAACCAGAAAGACAAAACCTTAAACAGATTCTGAATAAAGCCTGGAGAGCTTCAAATGCAAAGAGGGCATGAACTCAGATCCAGGGGAAGATGTACCTTCAAACTCCCGGGTCATGGAGAACAGCAGTGAACTCAGTGGGCTCAATTGTGGGCACCAAACCTGTTGCTCACCAGCCCCAGAGCTATTTGGGATCTCCTCTGGTCCCCATATGAGCCACCAAAATGTTGACCTAAAACAAATAGACTGCCAGTGACTTCTCCAGCAAAGATGGGTTTACTTGGGATCAATAAAGAATTGCAATTGGGGATCTGCAACCATGGTGAGCCACATGCAAGTTCCCTATGGCAAGAGGAGGAGAACCCTTTTAAAGAGGGGAGAAGGAAGTGGGGAGAGCTATAGTAAACAAAGAGTTCAGGGCTCTCCATTGGCTAAATTCTTACCAGGAAAGGAGTCCTTCTTCTTCCTGTTGGGCTATGCCATCTTCACGGGACGAGAATGCCCCCTCTCCTGATCTCCCTACTCTATTTAATTGAGGTTTCTGTTTATTAATTTTTCACAAGGGATTTAGGTGTCAGTGGTTTACCCTTAGATGCAGCTGCATTTGGTTCCTGTGAAAATCAACTTCAGGTCAGAAATTAGACTCTTACATGAAGATGCATCTTAAACCATTAAAATAAATTTTGGTCAATACTTTAAAAAAGGGAAGTTATTCGTTGTGTTAATTTAGTAGAAAATTCCTCATATGAGGGAATTTGGTGATCCAGCTATCATATGTCACTAAATTCAAAACCACTGCAAACAATGAATGAGACTCCCCTCTAACCCAGTGAAGGAATGAAACCACATTTCTCTGTCCCCACACATATTCTATCCCTCTTTCAACCTTTTGAGTATATAAAGATACATCTCTTTTTCTTTTTATAGACAAAGGATAATTGCCAAAAATGAAGAAATTTATGATGAACGATCTGGGAAGTTGACCTCTATTACTATGCAGGACGGTATTTCTGACACTTTAGAAGATGCTAGCAACAAAACACAAGAACCATGAGCAGAAAAGTTGATCTCTACCACCAGAGAGGGTAGGAACCCCATCTTGGTAGGCTTAAGAACTCCTGTGAGATTTTCTGGAGAAATGCATATGATGTATTTAGTTCTTGGGTTGCCTTGATTCTACTTGTGTCTTTTCACAATTTTTTTTCTTCTGAGTGCTTGGGAATGTTTGATTTCTCAACTCAGTTACATAAACTTTCATGACTCTTCATTGAAAAGTGATTTCCTCTACAGCTAGGGCTGAGCTTTCTCTCAGCGTCATACTGTTTTGTCTTCCCCCTTTACATATTTCATTGTGAAGACACTGATCTGAAGAATGTCTTTCTATTAAATTTTGACTATATTTTGGGGTGCACTTTTGTCTCCCTGGAACATTTAGCTAGCAAGAAAGAGACTTTATTCATTTGATTCCCCCAAACTTTTTCTCTCTTATATGTGTTCCCACTCCCCTATCTCTCATGTCTCCTAACCTATGATTTGGGAAGAATTTCTGATACCTCCTGCTACCTTCACCAGAAATCGAGGTGACAACATAAACAAGTGAGGTAGGCTGGACATAAGAAAACACAATCACACAAGCACAGTGATAAATGGTCATTAGTAGAGCTTCAGTGGAGGGGATTGGACAGGATGGGGTGGGGGCCTGCAAGGTGGGGTAAGGGTTATGGGGTTTGGGTGAACTCATTCCATTGTTGCCAAACAGGAACATGGCCTAAATGTGGTCAGATATTCTGATTTTTTTTTTTAAAAAAAGCATTTTGGTTTTTATGTGACATCTCCCAATTTTTAAATATGGACAAGAAATATTTAAGAAGTACAACCGTGTGAGCCAATGTCAGGAGGCTCAAGGAGAACTCATCTGTGATCCCGATGCCTTTTACCTGTAAGATTCCATCAGAAAAAACAAAAACAAAACAAACAAAAACAATCTCCAAGGAAGAGTCAGATAATTACAGTTTATTCTATATTCTTTAAAAACGTAGCTGTCAAAAGTAGCATAAGTACTAAAGATTTCAGTTTTACTTGAGAAGTTCAAGAAAGCAAATGAAAATGCATAAAAGGAGTGCAGCATTGTTAGCGAAAAAGCAAATCATGATGCACGTATTGTAAGAGCAAGAAGAGAAAAGGCAGCCTTCATCCCTGAAAAGCAGAGTCTTCTCATGGCTCAAGAGAGGAGGCTCACTTGACTGCTTGTCACACTCACCAGCATTGATCAGGCTGGATGTGGGAGCATTGTGCCTTAAACCGCAACATACCAGGGTTTTTTCAGCCAGGTCAGGACACCAAAATCTCCCTCAGTGATCTTTGAAAGGGAGTCACTGAAATTCCCCTTGCATAATAAGTCTACTATAAGTTTATTTTTAAACTTTTGTTTTAATTGAAGTATGGTAATTTTACAATGTTGTATCAAATTCTGATGGACAGCATAATGTTACAGTCATATATATATATATGTATATATATTCCTTTTCATATTTTTTTCATTATAGGTTACTACAAGATATTGAATATAGTTCCTTGCCATGTATAGTAAAAAACTGTTAATTATCTACTTTATATATAGTAGCATATATCTATATATGTTGGAAATCAGCCCCTTGTTGGTCGAATCATTTATTTCTAAACATTTTCATTGAATTAAAAGTGCAACTAAAGTTATGTTATGGCTATAAATGTCTAGTTCTTGCAAAGCTAGAGATTTAGGCTTGAATTTGTATAAATATTAGATTGTCCTGACTCCCATTCTCTCCCCTTCCTGCTATCCAAAAAAAAAAAAAAAAAAGAGTAAATTAGCAGCATTTTAACAACAGATTAAGCGTAGTGTTATGCAACTAAACAGCAGCATCAATTAAGAGGAAAGAAGAGTTTTTTCCTCAGTGTGAAAGTAGGTTGTGGCATCTGTTTGCCCATATTTTTCTTGTCATCTTTATTGCTTACTTCAAAGTTCACCTTGGTGAGGATGGTGAGAATATCTTCACCTCTGAAAAACATAACATAACCTTGTGACCATCTGTGGGTGGAAAATCAACTGGTAAACCCTTTCATCTGCTGTGTTCAGTGACAGTTATTTCCCTCAAAACATCAGGCATTTGAAATAATAAGAAGTTGCTAATCCAAGACCGACCACAGCTTTCCGGGTAAATAAGTTGTCTCAGAGCTTAATCACTTTGCCTTTGGTCTACTCAGGATCTCTACTGACTATCAGAAACATCCGTGTCAACATCAGATTTGGTTTCTTTCCCTCCTGACATGTTTTCACCTCCCTTCACTCCATGTTCTGTGTCACTTCCCTGCTAATCGCCTCAATGCCTCCTGACGTCCTCTGCCTCAAATTGGCATTGCTTCTATGGGTTCATCTATGATGCCATCAAACTCCAGGCAAGTGGAAATCGAATGTCTCCCGCAGCTGCCCCACCCCTTTCTCACCAGCCTCTCCTATCAGTTGAGTTGGACAACCTATTGGTCCACCTCTGCAGCTAGCCCCACCGGGAACCTTGCAGGATTCATGGTCTAAGTTACAAAATGAAAACGTAGTCTTGATGTTGTGCTTCACTCCTTTATCTGCCATGGGAAGTTCTTCCTCTTCAAGCACTTAAAACATAATGAGATACAGAACTAGAAGGAACCTGAAGAAGACTCCTTGCTATTTATCTGCTGGTTGTGTCTGTGTTTGGGTGAACTGTACCAAACAAAATCATTGTTTAACTAAAGGAAGCATAAGATATAGTAAATGAGGAAAGGATATTTTCCCACATGTTGAGTGACTTCAAATCAGGCCAAATAAGGGGGCGTATAGAAGGTTTCTCCTCTTTGGCACTTATCTCCCACAAGAGGGTTTGAGGTTGGTTAGCTATTACAGAACATTTGACAGGGTAGGAGGATGTTAAACATTGAAATGGGTTACTGCCTTCTTGGATGATCTCCAAAACTAGTTGAGTTGGTTTAGTCATGCTTCTGCCTAAAGACAGAGCTGGACTATATGACTTTACTGTCCTTCCAGCTCTGTGATACCCTGATTGTCCTTTGAGGGGCTAAATAAAAGAAACTCCAAGGTGAGTATCTCAGTCGTTTCTATCTGTGAACTAAAGATCTTAACATTTGCCCTCTCTCCCACTCTGCAACTGACCTGAGAATTACAGCTATGTGATCCACAGCTAGACATTTAGAGATGGATGAAGGGTTGAGTAAGCAAAAATTACCTTGGACATCTTTCTCTCAGGCTCTGGCAAAGTGACTGGATATACCAAGTCCCCTCCACAGTGCTTCGGTAGGAAACACAGTTGTTCACAGTAGCCATCCCCAGCAGAAAGTCTGCCTCATCTGGGATGTATCTCTTCTGACGTGATGAATCCATTTCTAAATAGGCTTCCTTCTGTTCTGAGTCAGTCTCAATAGCTATACCTTTCTGGTAGTTATCCCCTTGACAAGCCTGAATAAAAAAGATTTTGGGCTTGCCAAGAAGGGACGGGCACTTGGAACCAGTGAAGTAAGAGGTCAGCTCGTAGATGGAGGCTTCCTGCCCGTCGGAGCCGTAGACGATGCCCTTGTCTCCATGGGAGAGGATGCAGCAGATGAAGCAGTCCTTGTCAGTGTGGTCCAAGCCTTGGTATTGCTGCAGATTCTCAAAGATATCCTTTGCTGTGGAGTCCTTGAACTCTACGACCTTAAAATGAAGATCGCTAAAGGTCTTGCTCAAAGCCTCTGAAAAGTAAAACAAGAAAAGTCATATGACACCACAATAATTCCCAGACCGCAGCCCAGAACTAGGGAGAACATGGAGCGGATAAGAGTTTGAATCTAAATTCAAATTTTAGATTTTGTATTGAGTTCCTCTTGTGGGTGACGAGCATTTGGTACTCCTACACAATTATTTACAACGTTTAACTGAAACAATAGAAACATTTGTATTACTAGTACTATATAACATAATATTCTTTAATTATGCTTCTTTTCTTATTAAACTTTCTGTCTTTCCTGGAATTAGCATTACTTTTTCATTGCTTTGCTTTCTATATACTTGACATTATTTTTTTCTCCAAATGCCCTAATAGAGCTAGTCAAGGTTTTTCAACATTTTCAGGCTTCCTGTCTGATTCTTTTGAATAAAAATAGCATATATTTATGGTGTACGACATGATGATATGAATAGTGAAATAATTACTACAGTCAAGCTAGTAACATATCTCCTCAGATAGTTACTTTGTGTGTATGTGTGAGATGAGACCACCTGAAACGCACTCTCTTAGCACACTGCCAGTGTTCAACACAGTGTTATTAACTATGGTCATCGTGCTGCACATTAGATCTCTAAACCCATTCGTCCTACATACTGTGCACCCTTGGTCAGAAATACAATCGATGCCATTTTAACAAAAATGTTTTACTAGCAAATAAAAGAAAATCAAAAGCCTGACACGAAAGAGAGAACAAAAGCTGTATTCTTTGGGGGTCTACTATACCTGCATCCAAGTCTGTTCCATTCCTGTTCTTAATGCTGTGAAGTTTGGGCACATCCTTCCGTGCTACACTAAAATCATAATTGTTAAAGATCAAACAGTATCCCCGAGGTTTGCTTTCCATTCGGTAAACTTCGCTCCATGTCTGGAAAATAAAAATCCAACCCAGGAGCTGACTCTGTGGGTCAAACACTTGAGCTGTGAACAAAGAGCCTCCTAGTTTGAGGTAAGGTGTCTCTTAAGCCAAACTGGGACGTGTGTGCACTTTCCACGGTGCCACCCCAACTTGGCGTTGCTCACCTAAGGAATTAGTTTCTACTCATTCCCCTTGCAAGGATCCCTGGACTTCTGCCCCACAGGTAGTGTGGAAAGTCAGTGTCCTAATACGTGGGCCTCCTGAACATTTGCGCTTATATTAATAGTGTTGCCATCACACTGTATTGCCATTATTTGTTCTCGTTTCTGCTCAAGACAGAGAACAACTGTGACAGAGAGTAGGTTTATTATTAATTTGTGAGAGCTCAGTCAGGAGTTGCTGGACGAGTGACTGTCCTAGTGCTGTCTTTGGGCTGCCCCTTGTGACCTTACGATTCCCTTGACTCTCTGCTCAACTCATCCATACTTCTGGGCTAACAGCTGAGGGCCTGCCCATCACACAACATAGTGTGGTCCCAGGATTTTTAAAGCTGATGGCTTAATTTGGCTCTCAGGACCACAGTGACTGGAAGAGAGAGATGCGCTGGTCAGGCAGGTCTTGGCTGTGCTACACGTTACAGTATCCAGACTCTAGCACTAGACAGTGTCAATCAGAGGTGACCCTGTGCCCTCTCGATTTTCCCAGGGCAGTTTCAGTGCTGAGATATTTCGGATTTATTGGGAAATCCAAGTAGTTCTTTGAGGTGGAGAAAAGGGCCCCAGATTCAGGGGCCAAATTCCTGGCTCTACTACTTAATAATTTTAAGACTTCGGACAAGTTACCAAATCTCTCTTACACTCAGTTATCATTAGCTGTTGGGCGGGGACAACACTTGCAGAGTGCTTTACAGTTTATAAAGTGCCACATGACTTAAGTTAATCCTTGATGTTCAGACTGAGAGAAGTCTGGTAATTTGCTCAGGAGTCCACTAGTAAATGGTCTCTCTCAAGCTCAATTTCTAGTCTCCCATGGGACATTAGCATACAGGGTGGTTTCCTCTGCTTCCTGCCACGGAGAGAGGGGAATGGGGTGCTGAGTCAAAATGTGTTTGGTGAATGGTTGAAGGTGACAGAAACAGAAGTGATTCCATCCAGAAAGGCAATTTTTGGGCCAGCTCACTGGGCCAAGGACATAGAGATGGCTACACAGTGAGCATTTGCGGCTGATATCGAATCACAAAAGAGAAACAATTTTGAAATGCCAAGCTAAAAGAAAAGACTTTGCATCTTCCAACCTGCTCAACTCTTCCCCTAAAACCTTCTCCAATTTAGGCTGACATAGCTGCTGAAAGGATCAGATTGGAGGCTCCCCACCCCTCTGCCCTCTGACTGTTCCAACGCCTTTGTCTTTGGCTTTAAAATAGAAATTCAGCACATAGGAAACCAAAGAGATCACCTTTTTTAAGTTCAAAAGTGAATTTTTGTGAATTTTTCCTACAATTCTCAACATTTTCAATAAGTTTCTGTCTTTTATTTGTTTACCTAGAAGCTAAAAGGGCTCAGGAATACAATAACTAGAATCTGCAGTTCAAAGGGGATAAAGGGATGGGAATTTCCCGGTACCTCTGGCTCACTGTCCTGTTCTCCCCGAGAGTCCGACAAGGCCAGATCTCCAAGGGACCCCTCCCCTTCGAGCAGTTGAGACAAATCTGGAATGACACATGGCAGGGAAGATACTTTATTAAGGAAATGTAGCACCCAGGACAACATAGGTCCCTTTTAAAATGAAAATTCACAGACTACCTTGAATGTAGTATCCTTGCAGTCCACAGAATAAGCTAAAATCTTATCACTGACTAACAACTCTCCCCCTATTTCAAACTTGCCTTCCTGGGGCTGCAGGGTCTATGATTGATAACTCCTTTTAAATCTTCCAGTGTGTAGAGAAGGTGACAACAAGTAGCCTCTGATATTAGGAGAGCAGGTCCATTAAGATGCGGATGAGTTACTAAGGTCAGGAACAAGACAAGGATGCCCACTCTCGCCACTTTTGTTCAACACAGTTTTGGAAGACCTAGCCACAACAATCAGAGAAGAAAAAGAAATAAAAGGAATCCAAATTGGAAAAGAAGATGTAAAACTGTCACTTTGCAGATGGCATGATACTATACATAGAAAATCCTAAAGATGCTACCAGAAAATCACTAGAGCTCATCAACGAACTCAGTAAAGTTGCAGGATACAAATTTAATATACAGAAATCAGTTGCATTTCTGTACACTAATAATGAAATAGCAGAAAAAGAAATTAAGGAAACAATTCCAGTTACCAACACATCAAAGAATAAAATACCTAGGAATAAACCTACCTAAGGAGGCAAAGGATTCCAATACAGATTCCAAAAACTATAAGACACTGATGAAAGAAATTGAAGATGACACAAACAGAAAGACATACTGTGTTCTTGGATTGGAAGAATCAATACTGTTAACATAGCCATACTGCCCAAGGCAATACGCAGATTCAATGCAATCCCTATTAAGTTACCAATGACATTTTTCAGAACTGGAGCAAAAAATTTTTTAATTTGTATGGAAACACAAAAGACCCTGAATAGCCAAAACAATCTTGAGAAAGAAGAATGGAGCTAGGGGAATTATGCTGCTGGGAATATATCCAGAGAAAAGTCTAATTTGAAAAGACACATGCACCCCAATGTTCACAGCAGGACTATTTACAATAGCCAAGACATGAAAACAACCTAAATGTCCATTGACAGACAACTGTATAAAGATGTGGTATAATATACAATGGAATACGACTCAGTCACAAAAAGGAATAAAATAATGCCATTTGCAGTAACATGGATGGACCTGGAGATTGTCATTCTAAGTGAAGCAAGCCAGAAAGAGAAAGAAAAATACCATATCATATCACTTATATGTGGAATCTAAGGAAAATGACACAAATGAACTATTTACAAAACAGAAACAGACTCATTGACATATAGAACAAACTTAAGGTTACCAAAGGGTAGAGGAGGTGGGAAGGGATAGATTGGGAGTTTGAGATTTGCAGATACTAACTACTACATACAAAATAGACAAACAACAAAGTCCTATTATTTAGCACAAGGAACTACATTCACTATCTTATAGCAACCTATAATGAAAAAGAATATATGTATGTATGTGTATGACAAGCACTATGCTGTACACCAGAAATTGACACAACATTGTAAACTGACTATACTTCAATTAAAAAATGCAAAAAAAGATTAGAATAATAATTTTAAAAAAAAGATACAGATGAGATAGAAGGTTATGGAGAGGAGGCGATGAAGATACCAGGGAGGAAAATTAATGAAATAAACGTTGAAAACAAATCTCCAAGTATTACCATTTGAGATTTCCCCTGGCCTGCTTTCAAGGCTCATCCTTGGTTCTGAGTTAAAAAAGAAACATGCACATACTTGATTAGAAACAGCTGTGACATAGAGGGGTCTGCCTCTTTAAGATTACATTTTGCTGATTGGTAGCTCTCAGGTTATTTTTACCTCTGCTTACTTCTTCATAATCGTTGATCTTCTTCAGCAAGCTCTTGTTGATTTGCTCACAGATTCTTTTCAGGGTGTCCAAGTTTCTTTCCCCTAGGATGACCCTCTTCTCCATCTCTATGAAAATATCAAGCAAGGTCTAGAGGAAGGAGAAGTAAAGTTGGAAGACTGGATGGAGCCATATCGGCTTTTGGATTTATTTATTTTATTTTTTGCTTCCACTTTCTCCAAACCAAGTGCCCACCCTAGCTTCCCAAGCTGACTCCCCCAAGAGAACATCTTGGTCTTACAAAGCCAATCAATGGACCACTAGGGAGGCACTCTCACTCAGGAAGACAGACATGAGGAGACAGAGAAGAAGCCACAGCAGATGTCACCCAGTCCCCAGGTCCAGACACTGTGCCAAGGCCACCTGTGCACACTTTTATGAGAGATGGCCTGAGTGCGTGGCTAAGGCGCAGCAGCCTGGTCCCCGTCGTGGGAGCCCTGGAAACTGCCTCGCATCCAGCGTTGCCTCTGGTACCCGATCCACCTCCAGACTGAGTGTTGCCCTCAACACATACATACAGACAAGCACACATTCACACAACATTACATCACACAACACACACACACACACACACACACAGACTGCAGCAGCGGGGAAGCGATCTCAGGCCCACTACTGTCTCTTCTAGCTCTGCAGGGTCCCCACTTGGTCCTCGGGACTAACTCTCTGTCAGACATCAGGTCTTACCATGTCATCATCCAGTTTACATTTGGCGATCTCCTTGCTGAGAAAAAACTTAAAGTCCTTCAATTCCAGTTTGTTTACATCTTCTGAAATCTGAAAAAGCATGACCCTGTAGCAGGAGACAGAAACACTTTAGAAATACTTCTTAATTTCCCATTTGATATTTGTAGTCTCAGTGGACTTGATTCTAATGGCCTCTCTTTAAAATAAAGCCAAGTAATGGTACGATTTATTACCACGAGTTGAGTTCTCAGAAAGAGGCTGGTGTAGTGACACTGACGACTATTGACTCACACCCAACTATCCCACTCTTCACAGAATTTAAAGTCCCCCAACTTTGAGTTTCAGTTAAATGAATTATGTTTTGCCTTTGTCCTTCACTATAAAGTCAAGATCTTGTTGCATGGACCTAGCGATGATCACACTAAGTGAAGTAAGTTAGAGAAAGACAAATACCACGTGATATCACTTATATGTGGAATCTAAAAAAATCGATACAAATGAACTTATTTACAAAACAGAAATAGACTCACAGACATAGAAAACAAACTTACGGTTACCAAAGGGAAAAGGGTGTGGGAGGGATAAGTTAGGAATCTGGGATTAACAGATATACCCTAGTATATATAAAATAAACAAGGACCTACTGTATAGCTCAGGGAACTCTATTCAATATCTTGCAATAAGCTATAATGAAAAAGAATCTGAAAAAGAATACAAATATACATATATATATACACACACATATATATACATAACTGAATCACTTTGGTGTATGTTCAACTGAAACATTGTAAATCAACTACAGTTTTTTTTTAAAAAAAAGATCTTGTTGCAATAGAAAAAAAACTTTGATTTTGAATATTATGCTTTTCAAAATGCTAATCAGATCATCACTTTCTTAATTAAAACCAGTCAACGTTCTTAAGCCACTACCTTCAGTAAGTTGGCCAAACACCTCCTTCTGGGATAAAGAGTTTTGTGAATTAAGCCCAGCCTGCCTCCTTATCTCTGGCTACACCTCACCACCGTCCCCTCATCTCCTCCCTGAACACACCCAGCTGCCCTGCCTTTCACCCTTTTATGTTGTGCCCCTACACCTTCATTCCCTCGTCCATCTGCAGAAAACCACTCATCCACTAACTGCTCACACACTGCCAGACTGTCCTCAAAGCTGCATTCACCCCGCTGTGCCTGTAGATCACCAGAACAGTAACACACATACTATAATTGTCTGTTTATGAAGCTGTCTGAGTTCCCTGAGAGCAAGGGTAGTGCTCTTTTGGTTTCTGTAAGCCTAGTGAGTCATAAGATACAGTGTTTTAGGTGTAGGGGATCCAGATTCCTGGTGTTAGAATCTTGGATCCACCACTCACGAGCTGTGTGGCTTTAGAAGTGGTGCACAACTCTTCCCCTCATCCGTAGACTGTAGATTATGCTACATCTGCCCCACTGGGAGGTAGTGAAGGTTACATGAATAAGTTTATCGGAAGCACTTAAACCAACTTTTGGCAACATACTAAGTGTTCAAACATGACAGGCGTTATTCCCCAAATATGAAAGGCTCCTGGGATATGCTTGTTGAATGAACAAAGAGATGTTTTATAAGTTGGAAAAACTTTTACTATTATAGCATAAAGAAAAATAACTAAGACAAAAACATATTAACTTCAAAATTAAAATTCTGAAAATAAAAATACGGTTGACCTTTGAACAACGTGGGTTTGGAGTGAGCAGGTTCACTTACAGATTTTTTTTCAATTAATATGTAATACGGTCCTAAAAGGTCTGCAGTTGGTTGAATCTGCAGATGTGGAGCCTCAGACATGGAGGGTTGACTACAAGTTACACGTGGTCTTTTGACTGTGCGGAGGGTCCACATCCCTAAACCCTATGTTGTTCAATGGTCAACTGTAGTGCAAAAACAGAAATTATCCAGTATTACAATCTGCTTCCTCCTTCTTCTCATGGAATCTCTACCCTAGAAGTATTTTTCTAAAGCTTTCTCAGTTTGGCCAAGATTGGGTCCAATCCTAAGCTACTTCCACAAGGCATTTTGCCCTTCTACATTCCTCATCACCGAAACCTACCGGCCTTCTTGCACCATCATTTTCTAGAAATAAATCTGGATACAAAAACAAAAACAAACAAACAAACAAAAACAAAGCATAAATACAGGACAGAAATAGACTCATAGACAGAGAATACAGACTTGTGGTTGCCAGGGGGCAGAGGGTGGGAAGGGATAGACTGGGATTTCAAAATTGTAGAACAGATAAACAAGATTACACTGTATAGCACAGGGAAATATACACAAAATGTTATGATAAATCACAGAGAAAAAAATGTGACAATGAGTGTGTATATGTCCATGTATGACTGAAAAATTGTGTTGAACGCTGGAATTTGACAACATTGTAAAATGATTATAAATCAATAAAAATCTTAAAAAAAGACTAATTTTATAGGTAGCAATGATCTTTTGAAAATGTAAACATCTAGTGTTTTCTTATAAATGGAAAGTAGTCACACTAGCGTATTTTCAATTTCCTGGTTAATATTCAACAATGATGAACAATCAGTAGGTCGTACTTGCACTGACCCTTTTATTCCCAAGCTGGCACGTTGAAGATTTGAACAGACAGATCCTGCCCTTGTTAGAGACTCTTCCCCTCCGACTGAGAGGCCCACATCACTGTCTGCACTGGCAGTTTGCCTCGGCCTTGCGCACATGACAGAAAGCGTGCAGCCTTCAGAAGACCAAGACAGTGGGCACAAGATGAGGCCTTCCAGCTCTCCTAATTACGGAGCTGTTGTTTTTTATGACTAATTGAGGCCTTAATGAAAAAAATTCATTACAAGGACTTCACAATTCAATTGAACCCAAGTTACCCAGTATTAAATAGTGTCCTTCCCTACTCTCCTTCCAAATTCGTGTCCACCTGGAACGTGTAAATGTGCTTTATATGGAAAAGGGGTCTTTGCAGACCTAATCTTGTTAAGATGAGGTCAGGGTGGCCCTAAGCCAATGACTGGTGTCTTTAAAAGAAGGGGGACATTGAGACACAGAAACACAGGGGAGAAGGCAAGGTGAAGGCCCAGGCAGAGACTGGAGTGATGTCCCTCTAAGGGAGGCCAGGGACTCTGCAGCCACCTGCAGCCACGAGAGGAGCAGGAAACAGATCCTCCCTCAGCGCCTCCAAGAGGAAACTAACCCCGCTGACACCTTGATTTCAGGCATCCAGCCCCCGGAACAATAAGAAAATTCATTTCTCTCTTGTGTTAAGCCACTTAGTTTGTGATACTTGGTTACGTTTGTTCTAGGCAGCCCTAGAGAACTAGTGCACTTGGAATATCCCTTTTGTCATTTAAAATCAAAATGGTCAGCCTTAAGTAGAGAAACCTCTAAGTGCCCGAATCGCAGGTCTCTGAGACTAGGAGGACAGGACATTCAGAGGCCAGGCAGCAGAGGACAGCGGCTTTGAGCTCTGGCTGTGAGCAGTCAGTGCCACACACACCACGGTTACTGACGAGCAAGCAGGACAGTGAAATGGGCCACGGCTTGAGTGGAAGTTCTTTGAAAAGAAGGCTGAAAATAACCTTAAGGAGTGTGGGGTAATGCGATGTTGAAAGAGAGAAGTTGGCGATGTTTTTCTACTTTTAAAGTCTTGTCACAGAACCAGGAAGATGTGACCAAACATCCTGTTCAGGCTGGACTCCACAGAGACCGCTGAGTCCCTGAGCTCCCAACCCCCCTACAGGTGAGGAGGGGCCGAGCCGCAAGGCCTTGGGCAGGACAGATGGCCCAAGCCACCACCGTTCTCCTGGCGGCAGCTTGGATCACAGGGACCAAACGGTCATTGTGGGGTCCAGCCTGGCCAGTCCAGTACAACAGGCAGCATACACCTCACTGGAGAACTTGGTAACACAAGCCGTTAAGTGTGGAATAAAAGCCTAAAACCCCACTGAGAATTTCATAGTCATCCACAAGCAGGTGGGAGGGGGTCTCAGGTGCGAAGCGGAGATGCTTCATTCAATAATAGGCAAAGTAAGCAACAGACATGTAACGGAGAGAGAGTTAGAACATTTTTTAAATATCTATTTTAATTTCCGCATACCTAGAGGTAATGGTTCACTTTGGAAAGAAATTTTTACTTTATGTTTTTAGCATTTTTTTTCTGTATTATTCCTAACGTCACTAAATTTCTTAATTTGGCCCTGGTGGGACAACTTCCCAGAGCCTCCAAAGTCACACCACACAGACAACCTGCAAACAGCATCAGCCCTGCCCATAAAGCTGTGTCCGTTCAACCCACACCTCCCAGGCCCACACCGTGGAGGCTCTCCCCACCTGTAGGCAGAGATCTGGGCCCTGCCTGGTATCTGAAGCTCCCTCTCCATCTCCTCTTCACTCGTGTCCAGGTAGGTGGTCAGCAGATCCAGTCTATTCATTCGGAAAAACAGCTCCTTCAAGAAGGACAGGTTGTTTTCCTCCAACATTCTTTTTTCTTGGAGCCTCTGGAATAACATCAAGGCATCCTTGATGGGCTCCTGCTTCCTATGTGGGATGTAGTCCAGGCTCAGGAACTTGAGGGCAGCCAGGTCATCACTGTCCAGCTGTTCCCCGATATTATAGAGACATCTGTTGAAGTTCATTCTGCTCAAGTGTTAGGAGAACGTAGTCGTAACCTAGGTCAAAATGCAATGGTACGTTCAGATGAGGAGGAAAAATACCACTACTGGCTTGTTCCTTCATCAAATTATCTTACATCTATTATATATGTCAGACATTATGCTTTGGATACAGGAAAGGAAAAAATGAACAAACAGGACAAGTTCCCACTCTCAAGTAGCTTACTATTTTGGAAGGTAGACTTTTTTTTACAAACTAGGGAGTGGTCAGAGAGTTGGAACAAGGGTGTGGTAGAGACATAGAGGATGGACCCTTAACTCAGCCTGGGAGAAGGGCTTCCTGGAGGGGAGGCACCTTGGGGGAAGAGGTGGAAAAGGACAATTAATGCATGAAATAATTTATGCAAAAGATGGAGGAAAGGATCTGGGAAGGGCAGGGGTAGGGCATAGGGATGAAGCTGTGGCCAGGAACCATTATAAAAGGCCTCATACCAGGGGCAAGGGAGTCAGGCTTTGTCCTGGAGGTATCAGGGAACTAAGAAAAGATTGTAGATATGAGAATGACATCATCCAATATGGGATTATCATTTCAAATGTGGAGGACAGATTGGAAGGGTGGGAGGTGGGAGAAGTGGTTGGGACTGGTGGAAACAATGGTAGCGGGAGGACACTGTACAGTGCTGTCCCCCTGTGCCTTTGGACAAGCATCCACAGCTGGTCAATAACCCAAAACTGGAAACGGAACCAAGAAAACTCCATCAGTCTTTCAAGTCAGTTTCTAAGTCAGATTATGGGGTGCTGTCGCAGACTTACATGTCTGAGCAGGTGAGAACAGGAGAGGACAGTGTTTTAGGAGACCCCAGACAACCTTCATGCAAGCAGCCCAGGGTCCTGGTTTCTCCCTCTTGAGCCCCTTGCATCACACTGGCCAACTGCCCCCTCACCTTCCTTGCTCTGACAGGCCCGTGTTGTGGTACAAGGAGCCGTTGGAGCAGGGTTTATATTGGATATGTCACAGGAACAAGACTGGGACCTGGCTCCAGGAGGCAGGCCACAGGGTCGCCGTCAAAGCCAGGAAGCTCACCAGCAGCTGACTGTCAGGGAGGCGGGCAGTGCAGTGGTTCAGAGCTTGGGGCTGT